AGTAGTGAAAGACAGCAGTGGTGGTAATCTTGCAGTTAGACAACTATCTGAAAGCCGAAAAAGAACAGCTTCTGATCCACCACTAAGTTCATCACCTTGTGTCACTCAGTCGTCGTTGGTGTTTTCATCCACAATGAAATGGACGTCCATGAACTCACGTGCCTTATGCAATGACTATGATAGTATTGGTGCGTTTGAAAAGACGAAAGATATTGCTCAGTTTAGTGAGAATAAGCCAAGTGTAAACGAGAGAGTAATTGTTAAATTGACTTGCATGAATAAAGGCATTTCTAGTTTCAAGTTACTAATTGAATGTTATTATCTTTGGTGTAAATTACTCTGTTTCTACACTTGGTTGACCAGATATGTCGTGTGTTTGTTCGTCATCTATATTCTACGATACAATGACATGGGCGTGTTGCCGTTCAGATTTGAGGATATAGCTGATAGAAGGAAGTTAGCAAATGAACTCTGCGACGATTTTCCAACCTAGGGCGTCAACCTGAGAAGGGTTGTAGGCGTACTGCTGTAAGTCCTACAATTCTTCAAAGGGTAGCGCATCAATGAGCAGTCCAATGTGCTTGGTGTGTGATTTTGTACATATGTTCATATTGTATATACTGAATTGGTATCATCTTTCATCTAGCTGTTGGTAATTCTGTTTGTGTCCGGACGACTTCCACTTGGATCATCAACCTGAGAAGGAATGTAGGCGTACTGCTGTAAGTCCTACAGTTCTTCAAGGGTAGTTTGTCATGCCGGAATCCACAACATTTGATGTGTTGATTGTACATAGGTTTGTGTTAAATAGTTGTGTGAGTTCCAATTATCGTAATTGTTGGTTAATCTTGTTTGTGTCCGGACATTCCACAACTTACAATCGTCAACGTGAGAAGGGTTGTAGGCGTACTGGTGTAAGTCCTGAGATTCTTCAAAGGAATTCCATCAAGATATGATCCGCGAGTTTTTGTGCACAGTTTGTATATATGTGTGGTGTGTCATATCAAATAGTGTTTTATGGATTCATTGTGTTTAGTTGTTGTTTTCGTATCTTGTTGTTATTGCGTAATTTTGTTAAAATTTTCGTCGTGATTACTTCTGAAGTTGTTTCGAGTCTTCTACATCCATGAATGAATTGATTGATGTTATAGATAGCAGATGGGTCGTATACGCCGGGGAGGCTAGGCTATTGCCAAGAATGACATGCATACGGAGATAATTGTTAGCTGTGGTCCCACACGCCGGGGAGCGAGAGTGTAGACGACTGAGGCTTGCATACGTCACCGTTACTAGAATTGAGGCAGAATGAATGACAATCCTTCTCATTTGTAATTTGTAGTGAATATTTGTCCTGCGTTATTTGCTCGAAAGATTTCTGAAATTTTGTGAGTTAATCTCGTCATGCCTACATTGATTCGGCCCCTATTGTTTTTCAATAATTTACATGGATTCCGCTGATCTAGCGATGACGTGCTTTGAGATGTACTCGTTTCGAGTGACCACGTCCATTGCTGACACTTCCACCTCACATGAATAACCAGAAAATGTGTAACACAAAAGGTAAAGATAATTATGAATACAATATTACATGATAAATAATGGGAGTGCTCGTGTCCTGTTTCCAGTTAAGGCATTGTACACATTAATACGATTATGAAAATTACAAATTTCAGTATCTAAGATTTTCAGTAACTTAAGCTTAGGTCTACAGACATTAGAAATCGAGCAATAAAATAGCGAATAGTTTACGTTACAGCAGAGTAAATTGTAGGTGTAATTACACGTTAAATATACAGAAAAAGCAGGTATACCCGTAAAACACGGCTTTCTAAAATGGACCAACAGCAAGTGTCGGCAGGGGTACTGACAAGTCTGAAACGTCATTCAAGTGCATGTACAAGCATGCAGATCAACCTCTACTCTACTCCCATTTTCTTTGAAGAAGACATAATCGAATGCTTCAACCTCAACAGAAGGCCGTCGTCGCTTTTTGTATTCATGGATCACTTTACTTGAGGCGTATGGCGTCAGCAGTCGTAGGACTAGTATTGGACGTGGTGAACAGGAATACGTGAAGCATCGCGACCGAGCAATCATCGACCCCTTCCGTATTCTTGATTAACTTTGTTGACATCATTTATAAACCTTCAGCATGTTTTTATGCAGACTGTCTGATCTCTGCAAGTAGCACTTCATTTGCTTGTGTGAACTTTCTACTCGATGAAAGATGATGCCCACAATTTTCGTCGACTCATCCAACGACGTTGTATATATTGGCTAACACTAACATCCAATCTACTTATAACTCTGAAATAGAAATTAAATCTGGAAAATGAGAATATTAAAGGCATTACTCTGATCTACTTTTACACTGAACTAAACGGAATAAGTAGTTCTTCACAATGAGATTCCGTATCTGCAATTAAAATTTGATTGTTTTAAAAAATTTACTTTACGACAGAACGCTCGACAAACATGGAAAGAACACAGAACAATGTGCGCTTCTCTGCGCGTTAACTTCACTGTTGCTATTTCAGATTGCGCACAATCCATAATGAAAGTCTCCGTTTTAAAAGTATCTTCCATTATTTGACGAAATGAGTCCAAAATTCAAACTACAACACGTTTGAATTCCTTTAGAGCCCAAGCAAATAGAACTGGTCGCCCACGACCAAAATTATCCGTCACAACTAATTGGAACAAAGAATACCTGCATGCTGATTAATGAATCGGTAAACTTACTTCCCTTTATTTATATTATATGTAGATTCGATACCAACAACATCCGGGAACTGTTTATACAACCCAATTTGCTCATAAGTTAAAGAACAGACACTTGTTAGTGAATTCCTGATCGGTTCATCTGAATAATACTCCATTAACTTCCCGCGGGATTTGAGGAATTGAGAAATGTCACTGCGGGTCGACATACCCTAAGTAATTAACAAAAACGTCAACGTTACCTTTATTAACTGAGGCTTTCAGGTTTTTAACGTCATTACGAATTATGTCCTTGTGGAATTTTTTCTTAGCATACATCATTACTGTATCGGATGAGCGGGATTGCTGAAGAAGTGGTTCCACGTTTTCTTTCTCTTCCACTGTTAGTCATCTACACCATGGGTCACTCTGCATGTACAACCTGCTGCATGGATGGTTATGCACCATTTTGTAAGGAGTAATTATGTACTCACTACAATGCAAAAGCACGAGAAATGAAGACGAACAATTGCAGCATTTAGACCTTAAGTATCATAGTATACCCCTTCTTACGACTTGTTTCGCAATTTCAAGCCAGCTTTTCCACGAGTGACTCCAAAGGTGCATTTAAAATCAACGTAAACGTACTTAAATCCGTCATCCGCTATTGTTTTGCTTTGAATATGAACATAGTGAGTGCAGGACAACTACATTGTCAGCATTAAATGACTTCCTCACTTTTTGAAATTCTCTTAATGATTTCTCAAATTCCTCCCAGCTGGAAAAACGCCTTCTAAGCATTACTTCACTAAAAATTCCACTTACGTCAGCGCTGTTTTCACTCCCATTGAATACTGGGAATGAACTCCTAAAAAGGCTTCGTCAATTAGTATCCATCTATGTCACAACTATTTCAAGATAATTCCGTAAAAATAGTAGTACTGAAATACATGACTGACCAATATCCATCAAGAAAATAACGCACGTATAAACTAAATTCTAGAAAAGCAAAAGAACCCACGAGTTCCTTGACATCGCAAGCAACGGGGTATATGGCAAACCAAGCCATGCACAAAAAGGCAAAGCAAAAAGTTAGGACAGTCACAGTTAACATTTATATTCATCACATCTGCTGGCAAAGAATGCATGATGCAAGTACACAAGGCTGCACACGACATCACCTACCAAGGAACAATCAAATATGAAGCTGACCGCCACTGTTCTAACCAACGAAAGACGAGAAAACCTGAGGCGCGGAAAATTTAACACGTAAAAACTTATATCCTCATCAGAATAAAGAGTCCAAACCCGATGTAATTAGCGCCCTTCCCAAGGAACCATCAATAATGTCCTTCAAAACTGGAGTTTTAGGTTAATTTAATTCATGCTTGCGAAAAGAAATCCGTTTACGTGTTTTATCAATAACCACGATAATATGATTGGATAAAGCCATGTCAGAAAGTGAATCCCTAGAGATGCAAACTGCTACTACGAAGCTTATCAACCTACAATCATTTCTTCAAAGCTAGAACTCTCACGTGGCTTTATACAACTTTGAGAGAATTTTTTGCTGTAAAGGATGACAATATGGGTCTAGGATATATGAAACAGGTGAAACAGGAAAGTGAAATAAGCCATCTCAGACGAAACCAACTTATATAGAATGAAATGTTGATCAAATATAAAATCATTTAACCGCACTTGGAAATGGGCCAAAATTATACCTTCGTAATTTTCTTGGGCAAAGTGGACATCTATACACTTGAAGTAGAATTAACAAATGTTTATGGGACACTTTCCCACTTTACAGTAACTTATATGACAGCTTTGTCAAATAACTGGTCACAAAATTTTCACGAGGAGTGTATCCATATTATTCATATCTAACAGGTACCTTATAAAAGTGCAGGAAATGCTGAACTAATATTACTGTTTAGCTTGTTAAGTAGCTCCATTGTTCTGAATAGCTGGCCATAGTTCAGACCATTGGTGCAAGAAAACTTTCTCGTCACGCCGAAGGGCAATGCTTTACTTAAGATGGTATCTGATTTCTGAGTACGTGCATCATCTATAAAAATTGGAAGTTATTAGATGACACTTTTCTCCACAATCTTCCCTGATTTCATAATCCTTTTACTAATTCTTTCTGATATCGATTTGAAACAGTCTACATCAGTTAAATTTTTCGTATGTTTTGAAGCAGTTAATTGCAAAACACTAAGTTTTAATCGGCTTATGCAATCAAAAAACCTTCACTGCACAATGGCGCGGTGTTTCAAAGTCCTTCTTTTTGGCTCATAATGTTTAAGTGTCTGCCAATCATCGGGCCTTGTGGAAGGCATGTAGATCACATTGACAGGCGACATTCGAAGCTCGAACAAGTTCCGGATGATGTGATGCGAAATTTTCGCACTCTTGAAGAGTGTCGTCTAGATGCTAATCAGATTAAAGAGTTGCCTAAGGTAGTTACTACATTATGCTAATGAGTGTTAATTAAATTTACTTTAGAATTTCTTCCGCCTGAAGCGAATCCGTCTTCTGACGCTGAGTGATAATGAGTTAACTCGTTTACCTACTGGGATAGGAAGCTTTTCCAACCTTGTTGAACTCGATGTTAGTAGAAATGGTATGTATCAGATTATATTTTCATGTATTTTCTCAGACATATCCGAGCTCCCAGCAAGTATTCGTTTCTGTGATTCATTGCAGAGTTTGGATGTGAGCAATAATCCTTTGCAGAGGTAGATTCTCAATTACTGTGTTATTTATTAAAACCTGAAACTTTTGTGTTTAACACCACTCATGTTGAGAATAATTCCTTGTATCCATTCATCTTTTCATTCTCATATAGCAGTTTATTTATTATCTTTTGAGTTTATATCCTGGTCAAAAGACCCGTTTCTGTTGGTTTTGCTTGAGCTTTAGTATTTTCAAAGCTGAATATTATCTCTAGGTTTATAAATAGGACTACGTTCCCCTGAATTTTTAAATATTTGCATTAATTGGGTTTGTTTCAGCCTGCCTGCTGGGTTTTGCCAACTACGTAATCTACGAGTTTTGTGTCTTAATGATATTTCAATTGGTGAGCTTCCTGAAGAAATTGGCAGGTTGGTTTTCAGTCATTTTTTGAGATTATTACTAACTTGCGTGTGGTAGTTCGTGTCTGTTTTTATGTCCAACGTCGTTTTTCAATGTGACTTAATGATTTTACACCCCTCGAACGAAGCACTATGTCTGTCATCCGAACTCTAATTTGTGTAGTCGCATATATATATAGTCGCGTGATGGAACTTTTTTCATACTCACTTAGGTGTGCGAAGCAAAGAGCATGTATAAACATTGGTACGGAAAAATAATCTGGAGAAATAATTGAACTCTTGCCGGGAAATATTTTCACCAATATGATAACATGCTGTTTTGCCTATAAAAATGACTTGCGATATTTAATGTTATCAGGCAAGATCTTGCATTGCATATATTTCCATAAGTGCTCTTTTAAATCTATTAGAAATGATTGAAATAGTTGTGGTAGTCTGTTCGATGACTAAACAGTAGGTTTTCGTAAATAAAATAACATACTAATCTGCTCATTGATTCAAGTGACCTTGCCTGATATCATCAAAAGGAAAGTCTTAGAGCGGCTAAATGATTGGGTAGTTTAGTTGCGCATTACTATGGAATATTTATTTTCCAATTTTGTATCCAATTGCGATAACTGGTACCCTTAACTTATTTCATGACACATGGTTTGCTTTCTGTTAGGTAATTGTATACGTCGCCAACGCAAGTTACGGGGAGATAATATAGGTCTTTGTATATTTTAAAATTCTATTCATCTCCAACCTACCACATCTGATTTAACTTACAAGGTACTTGAATTGGCAAACTGTTTCAGTCACTAGTGTGAAATTGGTCGTCAGTACCTAGCAGTTTTGCGGCTTTCGGGTTCTGAAAAGCTATTGTTTATAAAATTGTTGTTGAAAGTGTATAACAAATGGTAAATCATTAGCGTCTTAACTGCTAAAAATTCCCGTCGAAACACCCCTTGAAGATGTGTAAGACATATAGGTACTTGTATGATCAATTTGAATACAAGTCGAAAAGTTGTGTATATTTGGCGTATTATTCTCTAACCCCACCCTTATTTAATTTTAACCACCACTCATTAACACTGTTGCCAACCTGACCTACTCTGAATTCTACTCAACTGTATTACGTAATCCAATTCACTTAATCAATTCTATTTTATTTTCTATCTTAACGTTTGTCTCCAAGCCAAATAATACTTACATTACATAATTATCTAAACTTTATAAATCTAATGTACACACACAAACAAATTTGTATATATATGCGATTGTACAGCTCAGTGAATGAATTCGCCGAAAAGAGTCTCTTTGCTGAACGTCTTCTTTTCTTTTATATTTGGTGGGAAAATCATACACTGTACATGGTTGTAAGCTTTTACGTTTAGGGTTATCGTTTAAGAGATGAACTTACCAGAGACTTGTTTTGGTTAGAAACATCGCCACTATTTATTTCGACCGAAGTCGAGTGTTATCCCTATTTCAGGGACACATTTACTTTCAGTATCCATAAGTTTTCCTTTTCTATGAAATTAGGGGTTAAATGTACGGTTATATATAAAATCTGATGACTTTTTGATTCACTTGTTCCATAGTTCAGTTTGGCCTCATATAATTGTGGAATCCTTAACCTTAGGAACTAGCTTGTTCAGATTAGTTCTCAATACAATTTTCACCTTTCTTGAAGGTAAGAGACAAATATTGACTGAGATCCGTATGAAGGGATTATGTTTGAGCGGAAAATGCTAAGTCCCGCTTCGCCCAGCTGAACTAATAGTTTGAAGTCACTAACCTTAAATACATGCTGTCAAGCTTCCTGGTCACCCATCACGTGAGTGCAGAATGGTTACTACCTTATAACTGTGATAAATGTTGGGAGCATGTTAGTGATTAATATTGGAAAAAATCTAAAGTAAGCCAAAGACTATGTAGATTATTCACTTTCCTCACTAAACATTTGAAACTAATTGGTTTTCCTCCTATAATATTCTTGTCAGGCAATAACTTTCGTATGTTTCTAGGATGTTAGAGTAATCATTTTCCAATCAAATGGTTGAATGAATGAAAGAATGAATTATATTAGCTTTATTCCAAAACAGTACTTGGAATTCTCATCATTTTACTACAATATTGCATCCACTTAGTAAATTAACAATAAAATAAAATTCTACATAGATTAAGGAAATCTCAGTTCATTATGACAACAACATATTAGCATGTCGGTAGCAAAGCCAAAATTGAACAGAGTACTTTAAGGTGTTAGAATAGTAGATGCTAGCATATTTACTGGCGTAAACAGAAGAAAGAAACAAAACAGCACATAACAGAAAAAAGACAAGAGAGAGAAAGGAAAAGAAAGAAAGGAAAGGTACCTGTAAATGATATGAGTTGGAAAGATGAGATCCAGTTGTTCTTTTACTGACTATTTAATAAGTTATAGGTATCACGCCTAATGCCTTTTTATTGCACAGAACACGAGCTAAGTAGGGTATGGTTGAGTTTTTGTACTTACTAGTGCGAGCATATAGTTTTCTACATAGGCTTCTGGTCTTGCCTGATGAGATACAAGGGGAGAGTTGTGAATGAAGAGTGTGAGTGTTGTGAGTTAGATAAAATGGTTTTTGAGCATTTTCCACATGAGTCCATGTGCCTGTCAACCAGAATATTAACAAGCTGGTTAAGTGGCACGTAGCTTACCCTGCTGACAATCTTTAACATCCTGCGTAATAAGGCATAGTCTTTCTTCAGTAGCCCTGAAAAAACTAAGAGGGAACAATGGAGAATAATAGGCAGAATGCAAGAGTTAACGAATTGTAGGAGTAAGGGTTGGGTTATACCAGAATGTCTTAACTTCTTGATGTAGAAGGTAAGACGGAATATTTTCTTAGAAATCATCAAGATATGAGACGACCAGGAGAGATCAGCAGATAGAATGACGCCTAGGTATTTAATTTCCGAGTTGGTTTCTATTTCAGTGGTATCTTTTTATGTTGCACACCTCGTGAGTGCTAACCAGTTTGTTCTGGTCAGATTCATGCCTTAAGGTGAAATTGACTGTTTGTCATTTGGAGGGATTTAAGGTGAGACCGTTTCCCTTGAACCATTGACTGATTTCTGACAAAAAGCCGTTTAGTTTAGTGCAGTCACTTTGACATTTGACATGCAAAGATACAGTCAGGTCGTCAGCATATTTGACAAAATTAATTTCATTTGAAGATGATAGGTCATGTAGAAAGAAGGAAAAGAGAAGTGGGGAGAGTACAACACCTTGGGGGACACCAGCTTCAGTGGGTACAGCAGAGGAGGATTTGCCTTTGTATACAATATACTGTATTCTGTTTGAAAAGTAGGAGTGCAACCAGTTAGTGACCCAGGACTCAGTTTGTGTCATGGAGAGCTTATTTAGCAAGAGACATCTAGGTGTAGAGTCGAAAGCAGAAGTGAAGTCGAGAAACGTGCGAGTCTTTATTTTTATTTGAGGGTCTTTATGAGTGCTTTTCTGTTGATGCCTTTCCGCTTAATCTTTGGGACCATGTACTTGCTTTTCAATGGGAATGAATACTCAAAAATGAATTGTGCACTTACTATGTAGCTTAGGTTGTGTTAACTGAATATGTTTGTATCAAAAATATACTGTTTTTTTGACAGTGGTGGAAGTAATGTACTTCAGTATGTGGCTGTGAACGTCCACTGATGAAATCACAGAGATCATATTCTAGCCTCCAAACTAACTTTAGAATGATTTGCTAAAATTGGTACATTAACAAAGTGAGAAGAGCTAAAGTGAGGAAAACATCACCCGAAAGGTGAATTAAAAGATGGGATAGCAATTTAAAATTAGATTATTGATCAACATACATTACCGTACGTATGCTCCACTTAGGGACCAACAGTTTTTTCTCATGGTGTTTAATTTTTTTTAACACCAGTCAAAATTATATAAGACTTAGTAAATTCTGTATGGGTTTGAATAATTGCTTTTATTACCATTCCGATACAGTTTACAACTGCTAGAAAAATTGGAGCTTCGGGATAACTGTCTCAAAACAATTCCGGATTCATTTGCTGATCTTATCCATTTGGAGTTTCTCGATCTAGGTGCGAATGAATTTCAAGAGCTGGTAAGACATCTAAACATATTTTTGAATTTGAAAGGTTTGATTTTTTACTGATGAAGGTATTGGCTTAGAGATTTAGGCACCGAAATTTCAACTATTCCATGATGTGTTCAAATTTAGTTCCATCTTTTGATATAGACGCAGCTGTGCAATATCGAGGGCTATCGCACGCTATGTGTGGCGTAAATCTTAGTACGCTCATTTGTAGATGGTAGCTAGGTTTCACTATTATTACTTTTAATAGCACTATTGTTGAGTAGTTATAGAGTGTGTCTATTTATTGTAGGATTTTACATTCCTCTCTTACCAGTTTGTTGCATTAAAAAGCAGGTTCAACTAGGTATTTTTTTAACCATGGTGCTGTTAAAGAGGTAACACTTCGTGTGAGACAACGTTTTAGTCATTTTACTTATCAGTTTTCCTGTATTCGGTTTTTTTCCACTCCGATTGGTAGTATAACAAGGTTTCTTATAAAGTGGTTGTTTTGTTTTCATTTGTTTTTAGTCGCCTGTGATTGGTCAGCTTTCACAACTAAGTGAATTGTGGGTAGATGATAATGAATTAAGATCACTGCCTGTGGTAAGATACAGTTTTTGTAAACTCAGTGTTAACAATTAGTCGCTTTTTTGCGTTGTTTTTCTTAAAAAAGTGTTCTGTTCTAATGTTTCAAACAAATTTCCGGTCACCGCAGTTCGATACGTAGAATGCGGAAGCTTTATGTCTTACATAGATGAACGGTTTATTTACTGGTGTTTGTGAAGGGTATATTTATTTTATATAGTGTAAATTTGTTGTGAAACCATAAGTCACATTATTTCATCTTAATCATGTATTGTTTTTAAATACCGTTTGATAAACTGTCCCATAATTCAAAATGTACGGAAGGCATAAATTCGTCTAAGTTCATATCTGTTAATTTGTAGGATTAAATAAGTTTTCTAAAATGGATTTTTCTATGTTTTCTAATCTAGTGTGATCTATCTATTACTTATACTAGCACGAATTCTGATAAAATCTAAGCTAACCCACTGGAAGCTTTTGGTTTTATGGCGGAAAAAAGAATTGTTTGTTGTATCTACACTTGTGTATACTAAGTGAGTGGTGAACGTCTATGTCTGTGAGTGAGCGACTCAATGAGATGTGTTGATATTGTTGTAAGTGTGGTGTATATAATGAACAAACTATAGTCACTATTTTTAAATAAACCATGATAGAATCTTTCAAATGCGATCGTCCGCCTTTCGTAGCCCACGTATAAAGCGCTCATTATTATTATTATTATGCTTGGCATGCGATTCGCCCCTGTAAAATGTAAGATGCTGCTACAGGACTGGACTACGTCAACTCCCACCTAGCTTTGTGATAGCGAGTGAAGTGATAGAACATGTTGACCACTTCACCTATTTGAGAAGTTGTATCAGCACCAACGGACTGATTGGCGACGAAATCCCAGCATAGATCCAAAAACCTCGAGCTGCTTTCTCTGACTTACACCATATCTGGCGTAGGCGTGACATCCAGCTACCAACCAAGGGACATGTGTATTGCTCATCAGTCCGCTCCGCCCTTTCCTATGGCTCTGAAACATGGCCAGTACGCGTTGAAGACATGAAAAGGTTGACTGCTTTCGATCATAGATGTCTGCGATCTCTGTCTCACATTAGGTGGTTTAATAAGGTAAGTAATGTTGACGTTCGGCGTAGAGTGTTGGGCAAAGAGGGAAAATCAATCGACGAGGCTATAAAGTTACATAGATTGAGATGGCTAGGTCAGTCATGTGCTGCTGCCCATGCCTAACCATCGCCTCCCCCGACGGGAATTACTAGCCGACATAGGTGCAGGTTGGAAAAGAGCCAGTGGTGGCCAAACAAAAACATGGATGTCATCAATCCATGAAATCCTTGACAGTTAAACTGAGTCATGTAGGGAGGGAGATGCAGACTTCCGTCCGGGTTGGGGCCCTCGGGACTCTAGGAATCAATGGCTGGAGACAATAAGTGACATGGCACAAACTCATCGTTGTCAATGGCCAGCGCAGATGTATTCAGTCTCTGTTATCTTTCATATTTCTTTCTACCATTACCCATTCTGTTTCACTCTTGTACTTGTCAAGCTCTATTGATTCTCTTCACTCATCTTCTTGTCTACATTTGTGCGCTATTTGGAAGGTGGCAACTCGAACTGGTGCACTTCGGTGCCAAGTTCTATGTTGAATCCAGACAGAGACAGACAGTATCTGAAAGCGGTTGCTATGTAGTTTGGAATCATGCATTTAGTTGTTGCTGTTAGCTGTAGAGATTTCTTAGAAATTGTTATCGTGATTCCTACCGCATTTCTTTCAGTTTGATTTAAATAATAAAATATGACTTAATTATTAATTGGAGTTCACATTTCTCTATATATATGTATGTTAACTGCTCAAAAATATTTATTATTAACAAACAGCGATGTTGTTTTGAATTAGATCTTCCTCAGGCTTCTCTCTAATCTGCATAACTTTATACATAAAAGATTTTTAGTCTATGAAGCCATATGCGTAGGTGTTAAAACCTGAGGAAGATCTAATTTGTACCAATATTCAGCAGTACATGCCCACCGGCATTCAAATTCAGGACCTTCAGATTACACAGCGAGCTTGTAGACCAAGCTTCAGCCACTGGGACGACCTTTGAATTCCATCTTCTACCAATTCCTGACATACAGTGCAACAACGTTGTTGGCTTATGTGTCTTTCAATTGTATCAGTCAAGATCTTACGTTTTCTTTTTTTTGGGGGGGGGGTAAATTTTATCACTAAGGTGATTGTATCGCAATATTATTTATTAAATTTGATATGCGAATCAAACTTTGATTTTTCTCCGTCATCGACTTGAATTTCATCCTTTGTTATTGTTTTTTTTATTTTTTTATTTTGAAAATAAAATACCTAGGAATTAGGAAATCTTGAAAATTTACAACAACTGGATTTATCAGAAAATTTAATATCTTCATTACCTGAAAGTATCTCCGGACTGGTCTCCTTATCAGATTTAAATTTATCGCAGAATAGTCTAACGCATTTACCAAATGGTCTAGGTAAATATATTCATTGACTGAGTGATTATTATTTTTTAAAATTTTTATGTTGGCTGATTTTTTTTACTTCATGTTCCCCAATGGAACATAGGGCTTCAAGCTAGTGGCTTCAAGTTTCTGTAGCAGTGTTTATTTTACAGGATGGGGTTGCTAGCCTGCTTCATGCCCAACCTTTCCTCTTTACCAGCATTATTTCTGGCTTAGCGAGGTGTTGGAGTGCGTCGGTGGCCTGGGATCGAACCCCGGACCATGTGCATGATCGGCGAGCGTCTTAACCTCTGTGCCACCGACGCTGATAATATGGTTTTGATTAATCGTTGGGAAATATTAAATTACTTTTGAACATTGTATTTCTTACTTATGAATAATCTTTATCAAATATGCTCCCTGCAGATATAGGTAACACACATTGTAAAAATGCCATATACTGAAGCTTTCGAATGAGTATTTATCGTCAACTGAGATAAAAATATAATTGACTTTTAGATTTTCCCGTCGATTGATTGAACCGAAGTGCTCGGTCTCATCAGGTTGACATCATCACTCACTGGGAAATGCAGGTACATCCAACTGACGAGCCTCAAATAGGACGAAATGCGCGTTGTCCTGGATTCCACTGCTAATCACCATCCACCAATTAAATTCTGAGTTAAAAATAGGTTGTTGAAAATTAAGAGGGATTCTTTTGTATTGAAATGATTATTTCAAGGTTCCAATGACAGTGATTTGTATGTTTACTGAAGTGGAGAGTGAGAGAGAGAGAGAGAGTGACAACTAGCTAATGAAAGTGGCTGATTATCTCGTATCACAAACTCTCAACAGTTGAATGAAATACGATACCAAATTCCAGTCTAGTAGTAGCTAAAGCGTTCATTTCACATGTAGTTCATATGCGAAAACTGACAACGATAAGTTCCAAGTTTGCGAATAAACAACTGCCCTATGTATTTCGTCGGTGTTTTAAGCTGTCGTGAATTTACCTACCCCACCCCAGCCCTTACAGGTCTCTATTTAGCCGCCTACTGGAGAGTTTCACTGACGCACTATGGCAGATTAGGCTGAGTTTTGTTATTGTATATGAAAGTGTGACTCATTATTATTATTATTATTATTATTATTATTATTATTATTATTATTACTTCAACTGCTCCAACCTATACAACTAAATAGTAGACTTCATTATCCCTCAGACGTGAAGTGTTATCGGTAATACGACTTATATTTTGAAAATAAAATAAGTGTCAAAGCTGAAATTATGTAATTTATTATTATTATTATCTGTCTATCTAATATTTTATTGAGAAAGACGTAAATAGTTTTATTTTTCAAAATAAAACTGACTGCGACTTTTGGCTCGGTGAATTTGTGACCGAGTAAGTGTTTTTTTTGATGATTGTGTAATATCACCATATATACCAAAATACCTGTCATCTTCATTGCTGTTTCTTCAAACTAGTTCAAACTTGTAGTTCCTTGTAGCACGGGATAAAAAAAATTTTCCTTCACGTTCCCAGTGGAACATAGGGTTTCAAGCTAGAGACTTGAAGTTTCTGTAGCTGTGTTTATTTTTACAGGATGGAGTTGCTAGCCTGCCTCATACCCAACCTTTCCTCTTTACCAGCATTTTTTCTGGCTTAGCGAGGTGTTGGAGTCCGTCGGTGGCCTGGGATCGAACCCCGGACCATGTGCATGGCCGGCGAGCGTCCCAACCGCTATGCCACCGACGCACGTTGTAGCAGGGGATAGATGAAGATATACCACATAAGGAAAGGACGTCTTAGTGCCACTTTTTAAGGATGTATGCCAGCTTCTTGTTTAGAGACTGCAACATAATATCAACTGCCGGTAACTGTAGTAGATGTGTGGTGAGAGCAGGCCGTGAGAAAATATGAGCAAGGCTGATTCAACAACCAATCACAGCAAAGTTAACGTGGCAAAATATGATTCGCAGATAGAGAACTCTATTTGTCGAGGAATCCCGAAACAACCAATCAGATAACTGCGCTTGTCTACTTGCATAAGCTATAATAATGTATGTGAAATATGTATAAATACGTGTTGATTTTCATAATAAAACGATCTGTTGCCTGGCCCTTGTCTTCTGTTGTTACAGATGTAGCTCAAGATAAATATCAATGCTACAGGCACATTCGTGTTTTTCAACACAATTAATATAGATTTGTGAGGTGTGCTAAACATATTCTGGTTTTCGTTCAGTGTGTTCAGTAGACGACTGCATTCATTCCAGCGACTCCGCTCAAATAGGACTATTTCTTCTGTATGCTACGAATCATTAAATTCTCTTCTGCACAACAACTAATTAACTTAGAAGTTGGAAATACAGCGTGTTAAATATTATAATATTTTTGATTCCTTTGAGTTAGAAGTAAAATATCGAGATTCAAGCTTGAGCTTTGAAATTCCAGTGGCGTTGATTTTTCTTTTTTACGGACTACGGTTGCTAGCCCCACGTTCAATCTTACGTCTTTACGAAGCTTACTGCCGACCAAGCTAGGTTTAGGTGTGTATTTGCCGGGAGTCGAACCCTTGGCATTCTAGCTCTGAATTATTGAGGCGTAGACAATATAATATACTACAATAATAGTGTTTTACAAATTTGTATTATCAAACAATCATGACGGATATGATAAGTAGTCATCAATTCAGATAAAAACTGCATGTAAGCTTGCCTATACCACTGTGAGTCCAACTAGAATGCATCGATTAATATTGAATACTTTCCGGGAACCATATTCCTAACTAAACGTCTGCAAAGCACCTCCCGAACAATGAGATTGAATGCTTGCTTCCGGTTAGATAACGTGGAATGTGTCGAAGATCTGTAAATCCGTGCCCCTAAACCTAGTTTTCTTCATTTTGTTGTTCATAAGCCCCACTTAATCGTGTAATCTCTTTCTTCCTCCTCCCTCAGTCTCTCCATATATTTATATATATATATAACATGGAGCAAGGTAAAACGCGCCTTTAAAATGTTTTCGTTTATTTCCTACTCCGTATATCGTTATTGTATTGGGCTAATTTAGGCGTCATTTTATCTGCTGATCTCTCCTGGTCGTCTCATATCTTGATGATTTCTAAGAAAATATTCCGTCTTACCTTCTACATCAAGAAGTTAAGACATTCTGGTATAACCCAACCCTTACTCCTACAATTCGTTAACTCTTGCATTCTGCCTATTATTCTCCATTGTTCCCTCTTAGTTTTTCCAGGGCTGGCTACTGAAGAAAGACTATGCCTTATTACGCAGGATGTTAAAGATTGTCAGCAGGGTAAGCTACGTGCCACTTAACCAGCTTGTTAATATTCTGGTTGACAGGCACATGGACTCATGTGGAAAATGGGCTCAAACCATTTTTATCTAACTCACAACACTCACACTCTTCATTCACAACTCTCCCCTTGTATCTCATCAGGCAGGCAGACCAGAAGCCTATGTAGAAAACTATATGCTCGCACTAGTAAGTACAAAAACTCACTCAACCATACCCTACTTAGCTCGTGTTCTGTGCAATAAAGAAGGCATTAGGCGTGATACCTATAACTTATTAAATAGTCAGTAGAACAACTGGATCTCATCTTTCCAACTCATATCATTTACAGGTACAGCGATTTTTCTCCTTCTTTCTTTCCTTTCTTTCTTTTCCTTTTCTCTCTCTGTGTGTCTTTTTTCTGTTATGTGCTGCTTTGTTTCTTTCTTCTGTTTACGTCAGTAAATATGCTAGCATCTACTATTCTAACACCTTAAAGTACCTCTGTTCAATTTTGGCTTTGCTACCGACATGCTAATATGTTGTTGTCATAATGAACTGAGATTTCCTTAATCTATGTAGAGAATTTTATTTATTGAAAATGTACTGACTGGATGCAATACTGTAGTAAAATGATGAGAATTGTATTCTGTATCACAAGTAATGTTTCGGAATAAAGCTATTAACATTATCATTATTATTGATTTTTAATTAATCAAATCCATGTTATCGGGAAAAATTCTTCCGTAATTATTTCTCACCGTATACATAATTTATGAATACATCAATCTCAGGTTGATGACAGAATTCTTTCACAAATGAATGAAATCTAATCCTATTCTACTGGTTCAAATTGAGAAAATATGCAAATAAGATAGAAATCAATGAAGAAATTTGTAGTTATCAGCACATTTTCCTTCGCTTCAAAATTAAGACCCAGTCTTATGACATGTTTTTTTGGGGTCAATGGAGGTGAAAATTATACACACTTCCATCTAAATAGATTGATTGACTATTGAACTAATTGTTAACCTAGTAAATATTCCAAATATAAAGTATTGGTGTGTTACCATAGCCTGTTTTTAAGGATAAAGTGTAGAATTTTAGGTGTTAGATACAAATGGGGTTGTTTCGGTCTTTGATTTTGAGAAATAGTTTGAATAAAGCACAGAGCACCTACTATTATAACTCATATTATTCCCCTTCAATTGAATATTTTTCTGTGCGTCGGTGGTGGTCTGGGATTCGAGGAATTCTTACACCTGGCTGGCTTAGCCGGTAGTGAGCCCGTTAAAGAGGAAAGATTCTACGAAAGGCTAGTAACCACACTCCATAAAAGAGAATAACGCTACTGTTACTGAGATTACAAAGCTCAAAGCTTGATGCCTTATTTTCCACGCGGAACGCAAAGGGAAAAAATTTTTTTCCGCTTTTCAGGTATTGGTTTTTGTAGGATTATTTGTTTCATTGGTTGGAGGATTTCATCATGAGCCGAAATCAGTTAAAGAACCATTGGAAAACCTGGGTTTACTGGACAGCTGTTTCTTCTTAGTTTGGAACTCTTCAGCAGTACGCACCCACTGGGGTTCGAACACAGGACCTCTTGGTTACAAGGCAAGCTCGATTCCCAGTGGCTTTTAATGGTCTAAGAGCTCGCCTTGTAACCAAAAGGTCCTGGCTTTGAACTCTGGCGGTTGATGAGTGCTGATAAAGAGTCCAAACTAGGAGGAAACAGCTCTCCAATACTCCCAGACTTTCTAATCGTTTTCTGCTTTTGCTAATTTTCCTCTACTCAGACGTATATAACAGCGGCATGAGTAGATACATTTCAGGCCGGTATTCTGTTTTATCAGTTCATCTAACAATGTAAATAATTTATGCGACAGAAACCACCACTTCCAAAGTCTTTTGGTTCATTAAGTTATTGGAAAATATGCATATTAGCAGTGAAGTCTAAAAGCTGAGTAAAATTCAGATACTAGTGGGTTTTAGTGGGCATTATGCTTATGAACAACGAAAATTATCTGTACCTTTAACATACACTTAAGATTTAGACTCTCTGCTTGGGGTCCGCTTGTTAATGTAAGGCATTTTATATGCATTGATTTCCTCGCGTTGCGCGATTAATCTGTAGGCTTCTGCCTTATATATTTATCTAAATGTTCGAATCTTCTGAGATAACAAATACTCCGTTTTATCATTATGGGACCCTGCTCAGATGATGTGATCAGAATTTTCGTCTAATAAATTTTCTCCAGTCTAACAGCTGCTTAGCCAGTTCGAATTTAACTAAGAAGAGTACAATATAGTATCGATGTTTACGTCTTCTTATTACCGTATTATTGTCGAGTAAATCATCCTGTATCTATTACTTGTGTACGCGCTTATTTTTCTCCCTACATTCAGCATTCAATCTTCGTAATAAGTGCGTATAATGCACTGGAAAATTTTTCTTCTGAAGAGTCTGAAAACCTTCACTAATATTCATTTAATATTCCTCCGTTCCGTTTATCTTCGCCCACTGTTTCACCTAAGTGTGGCAGCTTCAGTTTGATGCACTTTTGTGAAAAAAATCAGTGGTTTTTTTTAAAATCAGATATAAAACTCATCAATATGACAAAAATCCCCATTCCATTTAGACATTTAGAAGAAGGTAAATGTCTAAATGGCGTCGGTGGCATAGCGGTTAGGACGCTCGCCTACCATCCACATGGCCCGGGGTTCGATCCCCGGCCGGCGAACTCCTTTACCTCTAAGCCAGTAGTGAGACTGGTACAGAGGAAAGGTTGGGCATGAGGCTAGCAACCCCATCCTGTAAAAATTAACACTGCTACAGAACCTCCAAGCCTCCAGCTTGGAGCACGTTCCACTGGGAACGTGCAGGAAAATTTTAAAAAATGTCTAAATGAGGTTTTTCGCCATATATTAAGATCTTTGGAGCAACTGTATTTATTACGTTAAAAGTGCTCAATGAGTATCTGAAGTACAAAGCAAAGTTCAATGAAGTGAGAATTTCTGTGGACTTTATTCTCGAATGCATAATAACTAACAAGTTTACTCCTACTGTTTTTATGCTTCTTTTTTGTCTTAGTGTTATCCTGTTCTACTGAAATACAAAGATTATCAACGTTATGATTGTGAACATTGACGTACTTTTGCTACAAGTTTTCATTGTAATTGTAACATAAAGTTGAGCTTGCTACTATTCTGTTACATATCCAACTGTCAATGAAGAGTTTGGTCTCAATATAACATATATAGGAAGACAATAGCTGTAATAATAATAATGATTTGCTTTATTCCAAAACAGTACTTGTGATACAGAATGGAATTCTCATCATTTTACTACAGTATTGCATCCAGTCAGTACATTTTCAATAAATAAAATTCTCTACATAGATTAAGGAAATCTCAGTTCATTATGACAACAACATATTAGCATGTCGGTAGCAAAGCCCAAATTGAACAGAGGTGCTTTAAGGTGTTAGAATAGTAGATGATAGTATATTTACTGGCGTAAACAGAAGAAAGAAACAAAGCAGCACATAACAGAAAAAAGACACACAGAGAGAGAAAAGGAAAAGAAAGAAAGGAAGGAAAGAAGGAGAAAAATCGTTGTACCTGTAAATGATATGAGTTGGAAAGATGAGATCCAGTTGTTCTACTGACTATTTAATAAGTTATAGGTATCACGCCTAATGCCTTCTTTATTGCACAGAACACGAGCTAAGTAGGGTATGGTTGAGTGAGTTTTTGTACTTACTAGTGCGAGCATATAGTTTTCTATATAGGCTTCTGGTCTGCCTGCCTGATGAGATACAAGGGGAGAGTTGTGAATGAAGAGTGTGAGTGTTGTGAGTTAGATAAAAATGGTTTGAGCCCATTTTCCACATGAGTCCATGTGCCTGTCAACCAGAATATTAACGAGCTGGTTAAGTGGCACGTAGCTTACCCTGCTGACAATCTTTAACATCCTGCGTAATAAGGCATAGTCTTTCTTCAGTAGCCAGCCCTGAAAAAACTAAGAGGGAACAATGGAGAATAATAGGCAGAATGCGAGAGTTAACGAATTGTAGGAGTAAGGGTTGGGCTATACCAGAATGTCTTAGCTTCTTGATGTAGAAGGTAAGATGGAATATTTTCTTAGAAATCATCAAGATATGAGATGACTAGGAGAGATCAGCAGATAGAATGACGCCTAGGTATTTAATTTCCGAGTTGGTTTCTATTTCAGTGGCATCTATGTTGTACACCTCGTGAGTGCTAACCAGTTTGTTTTGGTCAGATTCATGCCTTAAGGTGAAATTGACTGTTTGTCATTTGGAGGGATTTAAGGTGAGACCGTTTTCCTTGGACCACTGGCTTTTTATCAGAAATCAGCCAATTATTCACGGAAAATGGTGTACATATTGGCTATCACAGGGTAGATAATACTGGTACCGTTTCAAATCTGTATTATAACACTAAGTTGCAGTTAAAAGTTCTGATCTTATCAACCATTGTTTGTTTGTGTTTTCTCCCTGTTATTTTCACTTTTTTTCTTCTCTCTCATAAGGTGATTTGAAAAAGTTGATAATTTTAAAACTCAATCAGAATCGACTGTTAACATTGACGCCTACTGTAGGCAAGTAAGTTGATGATAATATAAAGAATTTTTAGTCAACTAACTTTCATTGGGGTTTTTTTCTGTTTGTTGTTGTTGTGTAGCAGCAATTCTATGCTTACCCCAACTTTTGCCAAATAGCCGTCTTGTCCGTTTATTGTTATTAGTATTATTTTCTTTAAAACTTCCTTTACTTGTTTACTGATTGTTTTGTATTTGGTAAATAAATTTAATGTACACTAAAAATGTTAACTTTCGCAATTAATAAACCCTTACCTGGCTGACACTCTTATACACTAGACAATGAAATGTGTTTATATTGTGTGCAGACTGTTTTTGATTGGACACTAGTAACTAATGTGACGTTTCTATTCCTTTCTTTGTTGCAGACTGAATTGTATCAGTCAGGTTTTCAATGTGGCCACCATTCTAGTAGCTCACCATCACGGTGCACATTGATTTGATGATATTTGATGGTTGGAGGCAATCGGCAGGTCAATTGCGAGCCCAAATAGCTCAGTGGTAACGTCTCTGACTGCAGCACTGGGTGACGCGGGTTCGAATCTCAGAAGAGATATGAGTTCCTTCAAGGTTACAGATACACCTTACTGATGAGTGCCAACTATCACGAAACCTAGATCGGGTGGGGCTTCCTGTGGCCGATTGCCTCCAACCATCTAATATCATCAAATCAATGTGCACCGTGATGTCCAGCTACCTAGAATGGTGGCCACATTGCAAACCTGACTGATAAAATCCAGTCTACACCAATCAGAGGACTAGACGCATCACATAGTTACTAGTGTCAAATCAAAATTGATCAGTAGTATATAAAGAGACGTTCATCGGCATAAAAACATCAAATAGCACAGAAATATATTTGATGTCAGAGAAAGCAAATGATACAGCGTTGCGGAGATACATGGACCAAGTGAAAGGAACACACGGTATGAAGGAAGGCGAAAGTCGGACAACACGGAAGATATGTACAAATGGTGCATTTGAAGATAAGGTGTACATAATTTGGTTATGTAGACATACCAAATTCCAAATGAACATTCCTTTACTAAGTTTCTCGTCTTCATGATCTTCATCATCCATTATTTATTTTTTCTCTGTAATCTTTAACACTTAAATATTGTGCATTTAAGAAAATTCATTTCCATCTTTCCGATTTTTACAATTCCTGTTACTTGGTTATGTTGGATCGGAATGTGCTCGATCTCTGTTGATATATGGGCTCCCAGTAAAGATACTTTAACAGTTTCTAAGCATTAAGGCGAAATTATTTTTGGTTGGTGATGATTAGCAGTAGAAACCAAGACGCGCATTTCGTCCAGCTTGACTGACTGGTTTCAACACTGAACTTTTTGCACGGAGGGAGGTGCAGCAGTTCCAGTTGCCATAATCCATGTACCACACAAAAGAGGGAAGAAAAGAGATTCAAAAAACGATGATAAGCAGAAATGTGCGTGAGAAAGAATAGTAGCATGTAGAAACAATAGGGTATAATGGATATGAGAAGTCATTAAGAGTGAATGCCATCTGTGTTATTGTGAACGACTTTGATCCATACCACTGGTCGTCTCCAAACATTGGTTCTTAGAATCTGAGAACCAGGAAGTCTACACCCCCTAAATGGCTTAAACTAACTGTTACGTATTTCATTGACTGATGAGGTCATGTTTTTGTTTGACCACCACTGGCTCTTTTCCAACCTCATCGATCGTATGTCAGCTAACAGTGACTGTCGAGGAAGGAGATGGTTAGGCATGCATAACACATGTCTTAACCATCTCAATCGATGTAACTTCACAACCTTGTTGATTCATTTCCCCTCCTTACTTATTACTCGATGCCCAACCTCAATATTACCCACCCTATTATAACGCTTCACACGGGAGGATAGAACGTAGGCACCTATGATCAAAGACAGCTAGCCACGCGTTTCATGTCTTCCACTCTTAATGGCCATGTCTCACTCACAGCCATAAAGGAGGACAGAGCGAATTGATGAGGAGTACATTACACACGCTTTTTGGTCGACAGCTGGGCGTGTTATCTACTCCAGAGATGATGCAGGTTGGCCATGTTGAGATTTCATCAGCAGTCACTTCTTTGGGGCTGATTTCGTTTTATGTGGGACTCGTTATCTGTATATGCTGATATCCGTTGTAAGGAATGTGTTTAACGTGGCCAGTTGATAGTTTTTTGGCGTTTGTTACACTGGGTGCAGGGTTCGACTCTCAGCAGGAATAATTCTCACTGGGAATGCATGTACATTCCGTTGAGGCAAAATACTCATTCTGTATTTCATTGCTAGTGACAACCAGCCAGGAATAACTTCATAGTAATTTAATTATTAGTGTTTATTTCTCTTATTTCGTATTAGTTTTTGATTGCTGAGGTAATTTTCTGCATGATGCGGATTTCTTTTCATTCGTAGCTGCCAGTGGAACAATGAGCTTGAGGCCTTGACATTTTAGTAGCCGAGATTTTTTTTCACGCCCAGCCTTCCTTCTTTTCTGAACTTGCCATCAGCTAGTAAAATATAGGTGAGCTTTTGAGAGTACGTTGACTGGTGGGAGGACAGTGGCCGTGGATGGAGAACTTTCTACCACAGAACCGCTGACCCCGCCAGACAACCACGAATCAGATGATATATACTATAATAACCTGATAAAATGTATTGGCTACCTCTCGGTTATTTGTGCAATTACATAAGTTTCAATAGAATAAACACTAGAAAGGTTTCTAAATGAACGCAAAAAGTTTGTTTGGTACTTGTCATCTTGTGCTATCTGTATCAAAAACAAACAAACATCCCAATATCTATTGAAGGACGAGTGTACTACTAACCACAGCATTTTGACTATCGATTTAGTTTGTGATGAGGAAAACAAGTCAATCAATCACATTATGAATCTGTATCAAATAACTTGGCAAAATATATTTCACACATAAACTAACCAAGGGTTTTATTCGGTAAACAATTTAGGAGGAACAAGACTAAAAAGGTGACACAAATTTACAAGGCCTATGACAATCTGTTAGATAGCTTCTTATCTAAGTGTTTACGGTTTAGTATTCGTAGTTTCACATTAGCAAGGTTTAAAAGTGACCATATTGATGCTAATTTATTTGTTTTAATATTATACATATCTTATGTATGCATGCCCTTGAATTCCGCTTAAATGTTATTCCTCCTTTTGTATGAGTTTTTGTTTTGTTTACTATAATGCTATTCTGTACTGACTGTTTATTCTGTGTGGGTTGTTGAGGTAAAGTTCTGTAATGTCCTATTTTCTAATCGAAAGTTATGCAGAATTATGTTAGGTTGTTGTTGTTGTTGTTGCTGTCTGTCTTGTCCCATTAATATTTAAAATACTATAAATTATTCTAAATTGGAAACAGTTTTGATAAAATAGTAGATCGAAATCTGTTGAATCTGACTGTTGTATGTACTCCAGTGTTTAGTCTTGCTCTTCTCCATGAAGGAGCATAATCAACTGCGTTGGTCGTGCTAAAATCGACAGAAGTTAGAATTCATGGATCATTAGACTCTGGCCCAAGTGGCTGAATGATCTGAGAGCTTGATCTCGTAATTTGATGATCCTGGGTTCGATCCCCGAATTGGGGTTGTGGGTGCGTACGTACGTCAGGATAAAGCGATTGTCCAGTACTCCCTGGTTTTCAATGGTTCTTCAACTGACATCAACTGTGATAAACTTGACTCATAATCAAACTCTATGAATAAGTTAATCGTTTGTTGTAGTGTGGGTATTTCACACTGTTTTATGTATATTTTAATAATAATTAAATCAGTGAAGAGAGCCACTTGTGGTTTGTTTAAGGGTGTCATTGTGGAATTTCATAGGGAATTTACTTATTCTTTAATATTGTTTCTATTTGTTTCCTTTTATATGATTTCAATTAACTTCGTTCCTATTCTTAATTATTCTTATATTCTCTGTAGTTTCTGTTTTCTCTTTTTTGCTAATGGTATCGATCAATTATTACCATTATCTCTGTGACATTGGCATTTTTGGGTACCATGTATGGTACTGTTTTGTAGACATGTAAAGAAACTGCATTGTGAAATTTATAGATTTATTTATATTATAACTAGGTTAAGGTTAAGCACTGTATCTATGTATATATGTATAGCTTCATGGTAAGAAGGCTTACAGATCCTAGAAATACATTAATACTTTCTTATTTATTTATGTATTTGCACTCAGCTTATGCATTAGCAACTTTTTTCGTTTGTTTGTGTATAATGTGTATACTTAGGTGTTATCTGATCAGTTTTTGGTTTTCTGCTTAACATTTAATACCACTCATATTTGGTTACGAAGAATTTATGAAACACAGTGCTACTATTATCACGAAACTACTAATGTTTGTCTTACTAAATTAATAAAGCGATTTTTAAACTCTGATTTGAGTCTGACCGGCGTTAGTGCTAAAAATCGCAAATTGAGATGTTGGATTCCGTCACAGTGGCCGACTAGTCAACGAACTTGTCTTGTAACCTGAAGGTCTTGTGCTCGATCCATGCCGGCGGGACCATAGGCGTGTGTACTCCTGAAAACTCACGAGCTAGTACGAAATGTCGGTCTAGTACTCTTGGGTTTTCAATAGTTCTCTAACTAATGTCAATCCCTGATCAAACGTGTAAAACAAAGGGTTCTTTTACATTATGAAGATAGTGATATCAACGAAGGGTAAAACTCATAAATTTGACGAATCTAGCGATTTTACATCCATTATGAAGTCAAAACTTTGGACAGAAGTGTATCGGTTTGATTTGTCACATTTCGAAAAAGGGGAAATGAAAGAAAAGAAGAGTAATGTAATAATAATCCAGTGTTGGTTTGCGGGGATTTGATTGGTTACAGGATTTCATCATGAGCTGCCATTGGTTAGAGAACCATTGGAAAACCTGAGAATACTGGACAAGTGTTTCGTCCTAGTTTGGGTAGTACACACCCACTGCCAGGAGTCGAACCCAGGGCTTTTTTGTTAAAAGGCTAGTTTGTAGACCATTAAGCCACTGGAAATTGGCAGAAGTTAGAATTCATGGACCATTGGATCGGAAAAAATATGATAGTGGGAGAGGATAATTTTGGTGAACAGTATTGCGACTGTTCAGAATTTTAGAAATGGTAATAAGTGAACTATTTTCAGCTATAGCACGAACAGTCCCAAACCAATGGATTTCGGAATTCAGGAAACCTCTAGTCAGGCAATTCACAGTGTAACAGTAATCGTTCTTAGGCTTACCACCATTATTCAGTCAGCACTTTTACCGTGGTGGAACATTCGAGAACAGTCGTGTAAATCCATAAAGTTCGTGGATCACTTTTATACTGTCGATCGCCATATGCAAATAAAGAGTCATCATAATCGATGTCGTGCAATCAATCATTGACTATTATCAGCCTGTATTTCTACTCTATCTGAAATGATTATATCATAACCTTATTATTGATAAGTATGTGAATGATTGTTTTTAAGTCGGCTATCGTAGAAACCTGATGACCACTAAATTGACTAATTATAATTTTTACCTTTTTCTCCAATCGATAATTTACTTATTTTTCAAATATCTTATACAATTTAAGTCGTTTTGTTTTTATTATTCTATTGTGTTCTTTTTTTTCTTTTTAATACTTCACGTACGTGTGTTTCATGATTCTAATGTCGGGTCACTTGAGTTTGCTTTGATACTGGGATCCGTAGGTGATGGTAATCTATCTATACAGTTTCAAACCTGACATACATCATGTAGACTGTTGATTGTTTCGTATTTCTGAACTTTGAAAAGGTCTTAGGCTGAACTTTAAATGTCAAAATATTTTATGACTAGTGTATTCCTGCCTGCATCTTGCTGAACAGTTAGTTGTTTTATCATTGAGTAGCTCGTGTTCACGATGCTTTTGAATTTTGGCAATCACAAGTTTTCCATTGAAGAATTGATAGGTTTCACTAGCTTAGTCCCTTTAAATGTACAAACATATAATTTAGAGATTGTTGTCAACCCTCAAATAGTGAACAGGATGGCTGGTAGCCTGTTATATAAAAAGTATACCTTGGGTATTTTTATTTTATTTTTTTTTCCTTCACGTCCCTCAGTGGGACATAGGGCTTCAAGCTAGTGGCTTGAAGTTTCTGTAGCAGTATTTATTTTACAGGATGGGTTGCTAGCCTGCCTCATGCCCAACCTTTCCTCTTTACCAGCATTATTTCTGGCTTAGCGAGGTGTTGGAGTGCGTCGGTGGCCGGGGATCGAACCCCGGACCATGTGCATGGTCGGCGAGCGTCCTAACCGCTATACCACCGACGCAAATACCTTGGGTAACTGAGTTCTAATTAGCTTTCCTCCGCACCATATGGAAGAAAATAACAACGATATAATATTGATTTAACACAGATTGTGAGTATTCGTTAAAGTTTCCGTCTGTAATTATTATTATTATTCCCGTGGGTTTCGAGTGAAACATCGGGTTTCAGCAGAGTATCTCCATTTAGTTCTGTTCTCTGCGGTCTTCCTCACTTGGCGCCATGCTTTCATCTCCTCCTCACATGATCTGTGTTATGTCACCATCGCACGCCCAACTTATTGTTTCCCACTCGAGGGTTTGTCTTCCGCGCGATGTCACCCGACGGTCTCCTCATTTTTGCCCAGTCCATCTCTATTTTCTTCGACACATTTATTGAGCAATAGGCTCCTGATTGGTTCATTTCCAGAGTTTTTCGTTGCTAATTGTTTCTGGGCCCTTGATCTTCAATGTGGAGCGAAGACATCTGTTGATAAAAGTCTGTCACCTGTTGGAAGTACTTTTCTTGACGCGTTTTCCAGGTTTCTGACCCATATAGAAGAATTGCCTTAACACATGTTGAAAATCCGAATTCCTTTCTTTATGCTGAACCCGACAGACTTCCAAACTGATTTCAGTGTGGAGAATCTCCTCTGCCTTGCATTTCCGATCCAAGTTTTGACATTCTCATCCATAATGTCACCTGTATTTAGAACGATTGTGCCTATATAAAATGTAATAAGTGAACTCTTTTTCAAACTTCTCCCGTCGGAATACTTCATTCTTTCGAATAAACTGTATGAGTTAACTGAGTAGTAATAGTAGTACAGCGTTTTGATGTAGTTTAATGCATGCTGTTAGTTAACTAACATACATATATGGTCTAACAGAATATTATCAATGAGAGCATGAGTTATTATATACTGTATTTTGTGTAATGGAGAGTCATTCTTTGTCTACTTGATTTTATTTTTACCTGACCAATATCATCTGCATTGTTCTGAGCATTACTATTATTTTCTCTTATTTCAATAATTTCTATTCAGTTTTTATCTCGTTATATTCTACGATATCATCTTACAATATTATAGATTTTATGTCATTAATTATGTTTTAACTGGTTGGATAATTTTAACAGCCAGTCAGTCAGTCAATGCATTGTATCGTTTTTATTCAATTACAAACTTTTAGCATATTAAAAGATTCATTTTCATTTCTCTCATGTTTGTGTTTCAGTTGCTCAAATTTACAAGAATTGTATTTGACAGAGAATTTTTTGTCTGTAAGTAAAAAAAGTGTAATTTTGTTTGTTTTACATAAAAACAAGAAGAAGAAGAGAAAAACTTTCATGTAAATTTATATCCACTGCAATTCGCAACAGGAGAAGAGTAGTCTTAAAGCTTCTTTTCGCAGTTCTCACCTCAATTTGGATCGGGTCTCAGTGGCTCAATGGTCTACGACCTCTCGCTAGCCTTGTCCTGGGTTCGAACCCTGGCGGCGGGTCTGTCTGTTTTCGACATAGAACTTTACACAAATGTGCGGAAGTTCAAGTCGCCACACTCCGTGTAGCACGCGAAGCAAGAGAGGAAAGTACAAGAAAAGCATAATAGAAACAGTGAGCAGAGGGGTGAGACAAAGGAGTAATAACGAAGAACAAAACAGTTTCATTGAAGATCATAAGTCACAGGGAGTGGATGCATCTGCGCCACTGAGAACGGTTTTGAGCCATGTCACCAATTGTTTCCAACCATAGATTTTTACCTTCCCGAGGACCCCAGCCAGGAAGCCAGTCTACACCTTCCTACGTGGCTTAGACCAACTGTTGTGGATTTCATTGACTGATGCCAAGTTTTTGTTTGACCGCCGCTAGCTTTTTTCCAGCCTGACCCTATATCCGCTAACATTGCTTGTCGAGGGCGGTGATGGCTTGGCATACGTAACACATGTCCTAACCATCTCAGTCTTTGTAGCTTCACGACTTTGTCGATTGATTTCCCCTGTTTACCTAGAACTCGACGCCTAACTTCAATGTTGCTCACCTTATTATGCCACTTCACACGGGAAATAGAGCGCAGGCACCTATGATCAAAGACAGCTAGTCTTTTCATGTCTTCCACTCTCAGTGGCCAGGTCTCACAACCATAAAGGAGGATGGAGCGGACTGATGAGCAGTACACCCGCCCTTTGGTCGATAGTCGAACATCTCGTCTACGCCAGCGGTCAACGTGCTCTACCACTTCACTTCCTATTTTTAAACTAGGCGTCTATGTAGTCCAGTCCTGTAACATCATCTTGCATTTGGTTGGAGCGAATCGCATGCCAAACATTCGTAGATTGCTGTTCAAGGTGTTTAGAAGACTCTGCATTTCGTCAGCGTCTTCGCCTAGAAGGACTATATCGTCTGCATATTCCAAGTCAACGAGATTATTCCTTTTGTGCAGCTTTCCCTCCTCATTGAATTCGGAGCTCGCCGGAATAAGTCTTCTAGCATCTATCAGTTCGGATGAGGCAGTCGAAATCCAGTGGTTTTTACTTACCTTTGGATTTACCTTATTCACAGCTTTTACAGCTGTATCTATGGTTTCCTGGATATTCTTCCAAGCTTCTCCAGGGTGAGCACAGCTGTTGAACACAGATATGTATTTAGCTAGTTCTTGCTCAAATACGGATTTAGTTTCCTGATCGAGCTGGGGACGTGATGGTTTTACCGCCAGCTGTTTCCTACGTCCATTCAGTCGTAAGCACACACGAGCGCGGACCAGTGCGTCGTCGGTATCTACACACGTGTTCCAGGAGGAGCGATAATCTCCCACCGACCCACGCTAACGATAGCTTATTGCTATGTGGTGTATTTGTGTCCAGCGTTGGTTTGATGAAGGGGGTCTCCAAGTCAAACAGTGTCTCTCCTTGTGTTTGAAGTTAGTGCTTACAAGAAACAAATGATTATCAGAACAGAACTGTAGGAGACGGTCACCGTTGTCGGTTCGCTGGCACGGAACTCCATAGGTGCCACCGACATCCTTCTCAGATTGACACAATTTCCCTACTTCAGTGTTAAAGTCACCAGCTAGAACGACTATGTCTGAGCGTTTAGCCTTTCGCGGCGGGTGCGTGCTGATGAAGAGTCCCAAACTAGGCTGACGAAACAGTTGGCTGTCCACTACTCCAGGTGGTTTTCCAGTAGTTCTCTAACTGATGTCAGCTCATGATGAAATCTTCTATACAATCAAACACAAAATCCCTAGAAAACCAATACTTGTCAATTTGTTTAAAGTCCTTGAAGGTTGTCTATCATTGTACTATCTGCTTCCTAGGTAATCTCAATGATAATTCTTATTCTCTTGGATAGATTGCATCAGAGTTAACCTCCGATTATTTCCAGATGCAGACACTATGTGTATGTGTGTGTGTGTGTAAATTGCATGTATGCAAATAATTTCACTAGTAGTTATCCATCAGTAAGAATTAACGGCCAGCGTTTAAAAGCAGACTTCAGAAATCCAACGATTTTAGGACAACGGTCATTTTAATTGACAGTATCTACAACTAATCTAAATCTGTTAGAGTGTAATCTGAGTCAGTATATGTGATTCAGAAGGAATAATTTTCGCGTTAGCTCACACACTATACATGTATCCGAGTTGTAGAGAAATCAGAAAAAATGGTCACAGCTGTTCGGCAGGTTATGTCCTGTTTTGATTTGCAGCTTGCAATCATCCTGCTGTCTTTGGCCACCTAAACTATACTCTGAGTATAGACAAGCAAAGTATTCAGTGAAGTCTCCAGCCGGCATTGTATTATCATCGATCGAAAGTACTTAGCTGACTAGACTATTTTTTTGTTGACAATAGAATTATAATAGGCATTGATTGCTTGCTGTCAATCAATGAGGAGATACAAATAACTAAGGAATATCGCTTCTCGTGCCATTTTCTATTCTGATTAGGCCTTTTAACGTGAAAGCTCACAAAAGATTGTTAATTGGCAATATCGCCTTGTTAATGATTATGGACAGTAAATTGTGCTTGAAACGTCATCGGTAAATTATACTGTATCGCTGTGAAATTTAATTAGATAGATTCATTTGATGTGATGGGATTATACCTCTGCCGCAGTGACTAAGTCTTACATCAGTCTTTGTTTTTTTTTCAATCAATGGAAAACTAAATGATGTTTATTTTTTTTTATTGAGGTTCCACCATTGACTGCTAACAGATTTATCAAAGTAATATCTGATTAGAATTTACGAAATCTCAGTTTATGCACCAGTAACGCAATCGTAGTAGTAGTTCTTCAGTATGAGAAAATTGTCACATTGTCAAGTGGATGAAATGATAATGATAACAAATCATATGTTGCTTATTGGATTTGATAAATGCATAAATTGAAAGTCGTCCAAGGGTGACTTGGAGGAGGTCATGCGAGGAGGAGATGAAAGCATGTGGGCAGACTTGGAGTGGAGTGAAAAAGTTAGCAGAAAACCTAAGGCAATGGAGGTGCGCAGCTGAAGCCCTATGTTCCTCTAGGAACTAAAGGATATAATAATAATAATAAATTGAAAGAAAAGCATGTGTATAAGTAGTGAAACTGCTTATCACATTTGTTATTCAAGTGTTGGTTTTCAGGGATTTGATTTGATTGGTTATAGGATTTCATCATGAACTGACATCAATTAGAGGAGGATCATTGGAAAATCTGGAAGTAGTTGACAGCTGCCCTGTTCTAGTTTGGGACTCTTCAGCAGTACCCATCCACCTCCAGGGTTCGAAACCAGGACCTTGCGGTTACATGGCCAGCTTATAGACTATTAAGCCACTGGGACCCAATCCAATGACCAGTGTATGAATTCTAACTTCTGCCAATTCATGATATGGAGCGATCACTTGAGAATGTCATCGCTGGCGGGTATTAGCCCTCACACCCGACCTGACGTACCCCACTGGTACATCACTGACCCTAGAAGGTAGGTAGTTACATGGGTTCTAGTAAGAAATCTTGACCAGTGGGGTACAGCAGGTCGGGTGTGAGGACAAATACCCACCAGCGATGATATTCTCTAGTGATCGCTCTATACCATGAATTGGCAGATGTTAGAATTCATACACTGGTCATTGGATTGGGTCCCAGTGGCTTAATGGTCTACAAACTGGCCGTGTAACCGGAAGGTCCTGGTTTCGAACCCTGGTGGTGAGTGCGTACTGGTGAACAGTCCCGAACTAGGATGAAACGCCTGTCCAGTACTCCCAGACTTTCCAATGATCTTCCTCTAACTGATGTCAATTCATGATGAAATCCTGAAAATATCACATTTGTGTTGATTCGCCTCTTCATGGGGATAGGGTGTTCGATGCTGATTAAAGTCTTTGTTAATCTGTTATTCCTATTTAAGCGATTCGGATTCCATTTCATGTGGTTCTTGTGATATAAAATATTGTTAGTGCTTTTTGAACCTTTTCTGGTTGATTTCAAACCAATCTTATGGCCTAATTCTATAGTGTGTCGACTGATGATTTTTCAAGCTTTTCTAGTTCCGTTGGATTTTTCAATCGTTGAATAGAGGCTTTGCAATGTTCGTTTCTTCTGACGTAGATTTCCCCTGAGGTTCGTTCGATATATATATATATATATATATATATATATATATATAATCTCACATTCGATTATTTGTTAAAATTGAGCAGGATATGCGCACCAATTTGCATGTCAGCAAATCACGAACTAGTTCTACTACACTACTCCCTGTCTATTGGAATATCATTGAGTTTAATAGAGGCTTCGTAAAAATTCATAAATGCTGCTAATGCAAATAGTTCATTATATAGAGGTTTTTCTCTTACATTTCTCTTTACAATTTTATTTCATACAGATACTAGTAACCTTTTTGTCTAATTCATAGCTTGTCAGACACTTCATTGTATTCAGTCTGCTTTACATCTAGTCTAATTAGCCTTAATGTGAATTGGTAGAATTTTGAAAGTATATTAGACATTTATGAAGCAGACTATATATATAATACTACTCTTTCAGAAATGTCTGTATGCTTGCAGACATTGATTAGTAATAATAATAAGGCATCAGAGAGAGTTACCTTCAGTTTTCATTTCATATTCACAGGAAAGAATTCGACTAAACTAGTGGATTGTGTATTCTCTCTTTTTTTCGTTGTTGTTGTTGTTGTTAGTGGTGCATTGTTTCTATCCGCTTGCTTGATTTGCATAAAGTAAATAGTTTTATAATTTTGGAAGTTAGAAAGTCAGTTGTAAGCATCATAGGAAACTCGCTTACCGAATATGTAAAGGAGAATTTCTTAATATGACATTTAATACATAACTGGTATAAGAATAAAACTTGTCCACTGTGTTACAGTAGAATTCCATTATGGGTAAATTTTTGTTTTGATAAAGTCTCACAGTGTTATACAGTAATGTTTACTGATGACCACGTTTCGAGCACAATTTATTGTCCTGCTCATAATCATATCAAGGTAATCGCACGACTTCCTAACTTCATTTGTATAGTTCCATTGTGTTTCACTTGATTTGATTAGTAGTTTTTTTTTCTTCACGTCCCCCAGTGGAACATAGGGCTCGAAGTTTCTGTAGTAGTGTTCATTTTTAATTTTACAGGATGGGGTTGCTAGCCTGCCTCATGCCCAACCTTTCCTCTTTACCAGCATTATTTCTGGCTTAGCGAGGTGTCGGAGTGCGTCTGTGGCGGGGATCGAACCCCGGACTATGTGCCTGGTCGGCGAGCGTCCTAACCGCTGTGCCACCGACGCTTATTATTTTACGACACGGTAGTAGTATCTTCCATATTTCGGGTATGAGTGATGAATCATTCCTATTGCATGTGTTGGGTATAGACTCGATGAACAAGGATTCAGTGATCGACCTCAGGGTAATCAGATTGTCAGAACATAAGAACTTAGCTAAGGTTAGAATGATTGATCCCACGAAGATAAGTAATTTAGAAAAAAGCTCAGCAATTGCAGTGAATGCATTAACACACAGCCGCACAATATCATGGTGGGAGAGGGTTAAAATTCTAAAAAGTAATCTAGATAGGTGGAGAGAGAGGTTGATTACTGAATCCTTGTTCATTGAGTCTACACCCAACACATGCAATAGAAATGATTCATCACTCATTCCCGAAATATGGAAAATACTATGCTACCAATGAAATCAAGTGAAAAACAATGGAACTATATAAATGAAGTTAGGAAGTCGTGTGATTACCTTGATATGATTATGAGCAGGAATAAGTTGTGCTCGAAACGTCATCAGTAAACATTACTATATAACACTGTGAGACTTTATCAAAACAAAATTTACCCATAATGGAATTTAATACATAAGTACAAAGTGGGAATATCTGGATTTATTTATGTTTGATGACTTATGTATTTTGTCTTTGAACAATATAAAATTTTCAAAAGAGCGGATACTGAACAAAGAATCCCCTTTTCGATAACTTCATCATCAGGCTCTACAGTTATATATACACATTATAGTGAATGAATGAATTAGTGTTACAAACAACATTAATGTTTAAATAACATCGAATCAATAATAATGATATCAATGGATGATAGTTCAATAGCATCAACATAAAAAAAGCTGAATGTCAGAAAAATTAGGAGAGATAATATTACAAATTTATGAGTTTATAGTCTCTACTGAAGGCCAGGGCAGTAATAGGGCTGTACTTGCTTCTTTTGAACTCAGAGCACTGGTTGTTTGGGACGAATTGCAATAGCCTTTGCTGTTTGGAGCATCCCCGTCAACCTTTTGACAATTACTTCAGATTGCCTTTTAAAAATGGAAAAAGTTGGAAATAGACGGTCAAGTCGTCAGTTTTTGAGATAAAACTTTGCATATTATAATTTTATGTAGGTGTGTGTGAAACCTCGGTTTCAGCCAAATGGGTCATGGATTTGAGTCCTGCTCCATCGGCTTCAGCTTGAGCAATTAGAAATAAGTGTTATCATCCCTCAAACGATAAGTATAGCTCTTAGCATGGCACATGAAAGTTCTGTTCCAGGTAATTCATTTCAAACAAGCGTGTGAGACACCAACATAATGTCCTTCTGTTGAATCGAAATCATTTTGAAAATCCTTTAGGATCATAAAACATTGGCTAGCTGTTTCATCCCATAATTGAACTCTCCATCAGTTGACAACCCTGACTTAACCAGGTCTCAAACATAATCTATAAAATTTTTCAGGCATGCACGTTTACCATTCAGCCACATTAATTTTAACTCCTGTCAATTAGCGATATAAGTTCGCTGCCACCTAGTGTCATCGATAACTACCTGTGCAGGACTTTCACTGGCCTTATCTAAGTAGTATTAGTTCACGACGAGCACTCCAATGGATTCTATATCAATTTGGGAATTAGTTGAAGACTGTGATTCTTATTTCTAAAACAGATTTTATTTGAAGTTCAGAGTTAAAACGTAAAATACTTGGACTTCGCCATAAGTCGCATCTATTGTGTGAAGGCTCATGATACTAAGCTACTGGCTTGTAGGGTTAGAACTGCGTAACCCAATAGTCGTAAATCAAGTCCCTAGACCTATGAGACACAACTCTAGAGGTTCAAGGTACATGAAGTTCTAATATCAGCTGATCACTGATAAAGTTCATTTAATAAAGTTTTATCCTCGTATAAATATTAAGTTTTAATTCTGAAACCACTATATAGAAGAAAAAGAGAAACATGTTATGAAGTTAGTACATGATTTTGTCGATTGAAGAAAAATGCAAGATCACTGGAAGAAGGATTTCGTAGAACCTAAGCATAGTTTAGTCATGTAGGTAGCATGACAGCTTGAAGTCAGTATTTTAGAAAGCGAAGGGATATAAAATTCATCCTACCATAAATGAAAAATATCTCTGAAATAACAGCTAGAATACTGAAACCGTTTGATATAGATATAGAGCACACAAGCCAGTCAACACAATCACTTTATTCGATATTATGCAAACCGAAAGACCCATCCAACAGAAAAAGGGAGATAAGATTAATACCATTTACAAAATAAATTGTATGAATTGTAACAGGCATTACATCGGCCAAAGTGGGCGTCCCAGTCGAATCAGAATCCAGGAACACAAATCAGCCGTGAAAAGACACGATATATATTCTTTCATATCAATGCATATAGACAATTATGGACATAAGTTTGATTGGGAGAATGTCGAAATCTTAGACAGAGAAAATATCAAGAGTCCCAGGGAATTCTTAGAAACCTGGTAATTAAACGAATGTGCAATTAGCAAACACTTTAATATAGACCAAATATACCAACTAATAAAAAGTAAATCATGTGACCAGAAAGTTTAAATTCCAAGTCAATAGAAAATGGTCAAAAGATGGTTACCGGAAGACGCAATTATATCACTCATGAAGAAAATTTAAATCATTTCACTTTATGCTAAATATTGCGCTGAAAGGGGATGTTGTTCAGAAGGACTACGAAAGCTGCGCAACTAAACCAACCAGCTCAGAGAACACTACTCATTGCGAACCCTTATCTGCTCCGGTGATCCAGTGGTAGAAATACCAACCCACCATTCACTTCGTCTGCAATTCGATTTCCTGTCTCTGCGCACCTAAACCTCACTTTGCCGATAGTATGCCGCCGAACACGGGAGTTTGGACGTAAGGCTTGCAACTTAAACTCGTTAAAAATACTCCTGCTACCGGAACTTCAAAACTCAAGCTTGAAGCCCTATGTTCCTTGTCGAAATGTCATGGAATGAAACAATTGAAGTATACGCTGAAGATGTTGTCTAGTAAGACAATGAAAGCCTCTCAACTAAATCATCCAGCTCAGGGAAGACGACAACTACATCAAGGCTGTCTTCAGTGTTTTACTCTGGTTTCAAATTATCTGAAGTCCTTAAACTTTTGCAATATACACATAATCAATACATAAACCTTTTAACTTATTAGTCGCCACTGATGTGTTTTAGTCGGAATTACTTTTTTTTCATGTAATAGTTTGTATCATGTTGATTATTACTCGGTCATTTGGCAATCAAACAGACAAACACTTATTTTCATTACAGACTACTTATTTTATGCCTTGTTGTTTTCTTCATTGGTTTAACCATTTCAGACACTTCCATCATCTATTGGCGATTTGTCTGCTATGTTCCATTTGAATGTTGATCAAAATCAACTGAGTGAATTACCCATCCAGGTAAAATTGTTTTTGTAATTGTTTTGTTTATTTTTTGCAGTTTTAATTACAAACTTCTAGTAAATTTTGTGTATTTTAAATAGATACTAGTTTTATCGTATAATTTGGGCTTGGTACTGAACTGAAAATGTGTTTTTTTCTCTGTGTATATCGTGTGTGTGTGTGTGTGTGTGTGTGTGTGTGTGTGTGTGTGTGACTAATGCCTTCAAAGTAATATGTGTTTCAATGTAGATTTTGCGACAGAATCATTAAAAACCTCGGGAGCACTAGACGGCTTTTGCTTCCTACTTCGGGAATGTGTGTCAGTGAATACGCATTCATGACCCCCCACTGTGAACTAAATCCAGGAGCTTCAGACTACGAGGCCAGTCTGTTTACCATTCAGCCAATTGGGAAGGAATTCAGTAACCCGTGAATTTCATCATCTTTAAGAAAAACATCAACAACGCTAAGTGTTGCGTTTTCCAGTTGTCCATTGATCTGCAGAAGCCCTAAGGACACGATCTTTTATCTGACAACTTCTGTGTACACATATCAGTTCACCTATGTTTGTGGAACCAGGTATATTAGTCGTTCTACATGAATCCTGTATAAAGAGTTCAGAAACACTATCCCACATGGATGCAGAAAGGTAGTAGTGGCTTTGTGAGGAGTGCGATATTCGACAACTTTTCAACACTGATCATTCCATTGCAACGAATGCCTCCTTTAAGGTAATTCACAAACTGAAAAACAACCTGCTAAGGACAATACGCTTGCGTTTGTTTCCTTTGTATTGCTGAAGCTTAAGCCATTCAGTCATAGAAACCCGGAGCTATGCATACAAAAGAAGATTATTCAACCACTTCTACTGTCATGGTAACAACCTTGATGATTTCTACTGACTTGATTTTTATTTGCTTGTTTTTCTAACTCCTTATAACTTTGTATTTCTGTTGAATTCTTACACACTCCCATATTTTACTTCGTTTCTATGTGTATTCTAACTACAACTCATTCACTAAACTGTTTTTTTTATTATGTAACTGTAATGTACTTATGCAACTTTTCTTATGTATTAACAACTATGATAATGACAACACTTTTCTTACTACTCTCTTTCATAAAAAAGAGATTGTGTGTATGTAAATGCGATTGTACAGCTAAATAGGAAAATGAATTTGCCGAAAACAGCTTCTTCGCTGAACTTAGTGTTTTGTTTTAACTAATTCTAACTTTAGATAAACCAATAAGAAGACGTAATTTGTCTGAATCGTGTAATGTATTTGTGAGACCTGGCCACTGAGAGTGGAAGACATGAAAAGACTAGTTGTCTTTGATCATAGGTGCCTGCGTTCTATTTCCCGTGTGAAGTGGCATAATAAGGTGAGCAACATTGAGGTTAGGCGTCGAGTTCTAGGTAAACAGGGGAAATCAATCGACGAAGTCGTGAAGCTACAAAGACTGAGATGGTTAGGACATATGCTACGTATGCCTAGTCATCGCCTTCCTCGACCGACGGGCAATGTTAGCTGATATAGGGTCAGGCTGGAAAAGGGTTAGTGGCGGTCAAACAAAAACTTGGCATCAGTCAATGAAATCCACAACAGTTGGTCTAAGCCACGTAGGAAGGTGTAGACTTCCAGGCTGGGGTCCTCGGGAAGGTAAAAATCTATGGTTGGAAACAATTGGGACATGGCTCAAAATCGTTCTCAATTGCTGGTGCAGATGCATCCACTCCTTGTGACTTATGATCTCCAATGAAACTGTTTTGTTTTTCGTTATTACTCCTTTGTCTCACACCTCTGCTCACTGTCTCTATTATCCTTTCTTGTACTTTCTTCTCTTGGTTTGTGTGCTACATGGAGTGTGGCGACTTGAACTTCCGCACATTTGTGCAAAGTTCTATGTCGAAAACAGATAGACAGAATGTATTTGTGCAACACATTTAGAACAATCTGATCACATACGGACTTGTCATAGAAATATATATGAAACTAATAAAGAGGCAAGAGGTGAGAAAAATAGACTTAGGTCAAGTTGAAAGGACATACTGAAGGTCAAAATAACAATGAAGACCACTAAACCAAATAGCAGAGGTAATACTACATCTGCTATGATATCAAAACAAAATTTACCAAGGAAGGTTTAATGTGATGACGAAGTGTTTTTGAAGGCATAAAGGTGGCTTGAACTCTAATTGCTAGGGCTTCTACAAACTTTAGGATACGCCCCAAACACGTTTTATAGATAGGTTTAAAAGATCTGTTAACATCAATTTTATGACCTGTCTCTATAATATGTTGCACAATAGAAGAGCTAGGTCTCCTGTACTCACCGTTAATAGGTTCTGATGATTCCATTTGTTTCTGGAGCCATTTTGGAATATCCTCTGAAGCCAGCCCTTACTTGCAGAGATCGATTAGTCCTCCCTATGTATGTGTGTCCACACGCACATTCAAATTGGTAAATACAATGGGATGTGACGTCATTTTTCGCATGTTCGAAGGGTTTAGATAGATATAATGGCTTTACATTCTCTATTATTATGATATTAGCTGCATAAAAAGTCTTTTTAACAGCAGCGTTCGACCTTTGTCTAGTTATCAAGCTGCTTTGATGTCCCATATAGGGTAGCTTGATGTACACGTCTTTCTTAGGGGCGAGTTGTAGAGTGGGTCTTGGTGTTCTGACTACTTTATATCTCCTGATGAACTTGTCTGGATAATTGTTATCAACCAGAGTTTGTGTCAACTTTCTTTGCGCAAATACATTACACGATTCAGACAAATTACGTCTTCTTATTGCTTTATCTTGATTCATAAAGGGAACTAATTGTTTTAAATTCTAACTTAGTCGATTGCTGACCCAGATACCTAGAAATACCCATATTTTTTATATGTGTTTGTTTCACTGAGAGAGAAATTAAGACGATACTTTTATAAAAGATGTGGTTAGTATAAGAGACTAATTTTATTTGATGCCTTCGTATATCTTATCATTCATCATGTTTTATTTTAAAAGTGCTGTATATGTTATTGTCATAAAAGCCTTTAACGAGGTTTAATTCCCTACCTGCATCTGTTAAGTTTGTTCCTGATACATATTTGGAAAGTCTCAGTGATGCTTACACTATATACGGTTATAACCTTGTTAGTGAACTGACTGTAAGTATGTAAACAGCGTGTTTCAAAAAACGACTGAAAATCCTAATTTATACTCATTTTCCTCAACTTAACTCTTTTGAGGTAATGATTTGTGAGGATATTGTATCGATTAAAATAGAAATTACTTCCTTCTTATTTGAGATTACTTACAGTTACGTCACCTGGACTCCACTCCATCCTCCTTTATGTCTGGCTATCAGACATGGCCATTGAGATTGGAGGACATGCAAAGGCTAGCTGTCTTTTATCATAGGTGCCTGCGTTCTATCTCCTGTGTGAAGTGGTATAGTAGGGTAAGCAATATTGAAGTTAGGCGTTGAGTGATAGGTAGGGAGGGGAAATCAACCGATGAGGCTCTGAAGCTATATCGATTGAGATGGTTAGGACATGTATTATGTGTGTCTAGCCATCGACTTCCTCGACCGATGGGTGATGTTAGCTGACATAGGGTCAGGCTGAAAAAGAGCTATCGGCGGTCAAACCAAAACATGGCACCAGTCAATGAAATCCACAACAGTTAGTCTAAGCCACGTAGGAAGGTGTAGACTTTCTGACTGGTTGGGGTCCTCGGGACGGTAAAAACCAATGGTTGGAAACAATTGGTGACATGGCTGAAAATCGATTTGCTGGTGCAGATGCATTCACTCCTTGTGACTTATGATTTCCAGCGAAACTATATTGCTCTTCGTTATTACTATTCCTTTGTCTCACACCTTTGTTTACTGTCTCTATTTTGTGTTTCTTCTACTTTCTTCTCTCTCTTTGTGTGCTACATGGAGTGTGGTGACTTGAGCTGCTGCTCATTAGTGCAAAATTCTGTGTTGATAACAGACAGACAGACTTCGTCCATTGAACTAAACTTTTAAAATGTCGTTGTGAACACCCAAATCTTGAATACTTGCTGGAATGATACAGTCCAAGTTGCTTCGAAACTGACGTGAAGATCATTCTCCCAGCAATTCGTTAGATTAAAAACATTTCTGTATCCATCAATCATATAACTTTACTGAATGAAACTTTGGCTATTTCTTCTCTTTGAAGAATCGTAGTTTTTGGTACAAGTAAGGCCTAGTAAGAGATATGAGTGCTTCCTGTCAATATATGATATCTATCGATTTTAAACCACGCAGGTGGTTTTTGGTTCTATCCCCGGCTGACGCACTCCTAAACATCACCAAGCTGGCAGCTTGCCCAGTAAAGACGAGCAGTAGAGGGTGAGCCTAGTAGCCCTACCGTGTAAAAAACTGTCACTGAAACTTCTAAGTTAAAGCCCTATGTTCCACTCAGTAACGAATTTTAGAATATCTATTCCTTACAATATTCTAGTTGAGTTTTCTAGCGTGATTTGTTAAACGGCAATTTCTTCGGTAAGAAGAAGCCAACGTCTCTTATTCTTATTTTTATTTTTTTTATTTTTTATTTATTTTTTTATTTTTGATTTACAGCTTGATTCCACACTGTATTTTCAGCATGGATATCGGTAGCCCAAATTTTGCAGGCCGACCATAGATATCAGGTGTGCGCCGGCGTGGGCTCGAACCCCAGACCATGTGCATGGTCGGCGAGAGTCCTAACCACTGTGCCACCGACGCACTAAAAAATCTTTCATCCGCCATGCATATGATCAAAACATGATAGATACTCGCTATTGGAGTCATCCAATTTTTCAGCTGATACTGTTATCTTGTAGTTTTCTTGTTTAAATGTGTTTTCTTCTCAACAGCAAAGAAAAGGAGTGTCTATAATATTTCATTCCTACGGATTATTTCAATTTTCAACGTCTTAACCTTTATTCATGATTCATGTATTTATTCAGCCTACGTGGTATACGTTACATAACGAAAGTGGTTTGACACGTAAATGATGTGTGTGTTGTATGCAGTTTTATTTAGAATTTCAACTGTGTCATCTCTACAGTTTAATATGAGTAAAAACGTTAGAAAGATGAATTGTACTCACAGTGTTTGTATAAAAATAAACAAATTAATCGTGTTTTTTTAAAAAGAAAATTAATATATGTGTCATTTTATGCGCTTATAGAGTATAGTTTTAGGGTGTCAATTAACTAAAGAAGAGTTTCTATTCTTCAGGTATTATTATTGATTTAGTTTTGAATTAAATAGTTCATTACTATATACAATAAAATATCACATTGTTCAATATTTTGCAGAATACATTCACGTGAACTCCATGGCTTAGGTAGTCGTGTCCAAAAAGTAGATATGATGACCTTTATAACCTATACTCTATAAGTCTAGTGATCTATAAAAGTTGATTTCTGCTGTCTTCGTGATTTCAAGTAGATAATAGAGATTCTGTTATAAACCTAGTTTAGCTACTATTTTTTTTAATTCGATTTTGATTTTTCCGTTGATTGATTTGGACCGAAGTGGCCCTAATTCTGCCTGTTATTCTCTATTGTTCCCCCTTAGTTTTTCCTAGGCTACTGAAGAAAGACTATGCCTTATTACGCACGATGTTAAAGGTTGTCAGCAGAGTAAGCTACGTGCCACTTAACCAGCTCGTTAATATTCTGGTTGACAGGCACATGGACTCATGTGGAAAATGGGCTCAAACTATTTTTATCTAACTCACAACACTCACACTCTTCATTCACAACTCTCCCCTTGTATCTCATCAGGCAGGCAGACCAGAAGCCTATATAGAAAACTATATGCTCGCACTAGTAAGTACAAAAACTCACTCAACCATACCCTACTTAGCTCGTGTTCTGTGCAATAAAGAAGGCATTAGGCGTGATACCTATAACTTATTAAATAGTCAGTAGAACAACTGGATCTCATCTTTCCAACTCATATCATTTACAGGTACAACGATTTTTCTCCTTCTTTCTTTCCTTTCTTTCTTTTCCTTTTCTCTCTCTGTGTGTCTTTTTTCTGTTATGTGCTGCTTTGTTTCTTTCTTCTGTTTACGCCAGTAAATATGCTAGCATCTACTATTCTAACACCTTAAAGTACCTCTGTTCAATTTTGGCTTTGCTACCGACATGCTAATATGTTGTTGTCATAATGAACTGAGATTTCCTTAATCTATGTAGAGAATTTTATTTATTGAAAATGTACTGACTGGATGCAATATTGTAGTAAAATGATGAGAACTCCATTCTGTATCACAAGTACTGTTTTGGAATAAAGCAAATTATTATCATAATTATTAAGTGGTCGAGTAGACAACGTTTCGGCATTTAAAATGATGGGTACTAGGCCTGAAGCTTAGCAGGGACATTATCACCCGCTAGGGGATGCAGTCGCATCCAGATGATGAGTCTGAAATAGGACTAAATGCACTTGCTGTATTCCATTGCTGGTCACCATCCATCAAATTACTTCATAGTGTAGCTATTGTCTACATTTCAGTAGTAACCGTTTACTTCAGAGCTGTTGCCCATTGATTAAGCGCTTGAGATGTGAGCTTATGTTACAGTAGATAAACAAAATAGCTTTGGAATACTGCATATAACTACACTGATTGAAATTGTAAGATGATGCTACAGGACTGGACTACATTGACTACTAATTTAAAGATAAGGAGTGAAGTGGTGGCTGAGCATGTTGACCACTTCATTTATTTGGGAAGTCGCATCAACCAGTGCTGGTGGGTTGATAGCAACCCCATCCTGTGAAACAAACACTGCTAAAGAAACTTCAAGCCACTAGCTTGAAACCCTATGTTCCACTGGGAACGTAAAGGAAAAAAAACATTTAAAAGAACACCACTATTACAGATATTGTCAGTAAAAAACAACTAAATCAACGCGAATGACATACGCTGATGGTAAAATACAGAAACCCTCTACACTAAAATTTCCATTTGCAGAACATCTTCGTATTCTGCTTCGTCTTCCTTACATGCTTTGTACATTGTTTTACAAGGGACTTTCATTTCTCTTGATCTAATGTTCTACTGCTTAAGATCCTTGCAGAAGACATCGTTGGTATTATATTACTTATAAGTTATTGTCAGGATGGAGCACACGTCTCAATTATTAAAGCAATGTGTTCTGTGTTTATAAATATGTGTGTCATATATATGTGTGTATGATGAATAAAAGTGAAAACTGATTTCACTGGGGTATTTGGGAGAAAAATCTATTACTTCAATAATTCCCCACATACCGATCAATTTACTTTATTAACATTTCTAAAAACTACGCTATATAATAATAACAACAACAGAAATAGACATACTGGAACCAATGGAAAAAATATGACAGTTAAAATCAGAAAAGATTTTCAGAAACTGAGTGATAACGAGGAACGGAAATATTTCCAATATTATGGACGATTCTGAGACATACAACTATGATTCACTGTTAAGTAGCACCGTATTGCAGTGTATGTAACATATGGTCCTGCCACCACTATCAGCGAAGATTTACAGTTTTATCTATTAACATCACAAATCTACCTTCATCATAACTTGGCGTGTTTTCCACCTGACGTAAACTGTTAAACAACAACACCACCAATGAAATAAATCCACAGTCTCTTTATGTCTTCTACTTTCTACCGCCGTGATTCACAGCTATGAAGTAGGGTGGGACACATTGATACCCAATATATAGGCCTTATAGACAGACGTTGATGGCACAGCGGTAGAATGCTCGCCAACCACGCATGTGGTTTGGGGCTTGACCTCTGGCCGACGCATTCCTTTACTTCACTAAGCCAGTAATAAGAATGGTAAAGAGGGAAGGTCGGGTATGGGGCTAGCGACCCCACCTCGTTAAAACAAAACACACCACTGCTACCGAAACTGCAAACCTCTAGCTTAAAGCCCCATGTTTCACTAGGAACGTAAAGGGATTTTTTTAAAAATAGACAGATAATTGGATATCTTATGTTTATCAAATAGCGACGCAAGTTGACCAATGTCGAACGAGATTTCCCAAATAAGTCAACACACGAGATTTCTGTTAACAGTCGCTATCATAGTTAGGAGTCAATCTCACACACACGAATATGTGGTCACATATAATCTTCATTTAATTGTTAATTAAACGGTTTCACACTAATTTTTCTCTCTTATGGTTTAACATATTAATTCCATTTCCTCACATTAGTCCTTCCTATTACTTCGTATGTTAATACGTTGATGAAAAGTTTTGTAAGGGGTTTTATGTTTTGCAATTTAATAGTGTTCTCGGAGCTGGTTGGTTTTCTTGCGGAGCTCAGAGAACACTATTAATTGCAAATCATCCACCTGAGCTACAAATCTTCTCTATTAGGTTTTATGTTTATCAATGTTTGCATCGAATATAGCTCAGATTCTCCAATGGAAATATATTTTGTAGTTGAATATATGCCACGTAATGAGTAGTTGAATTTTTGTGCGAGCCATCTTAGTCTACAATTCAGTTTCGGAATATGCTCAAGTTTGTTTTTAATTTTATTTTGTATTTAGAATACTGTTTTCTAAAAGTTTACCTTTGAATATCATTTGTGTGCATATGGAATATGTATATACAGTGCGATACATGATTTTGTATCGAATTTGTGTTTCTGAATCCTTCATTTCTACTTTGTTGTTTGTATGTTCTAATGCTTGTGTTCACTGTTTGAGTTCAGTTATGTCACTGTTTATGAGTCTCACTTTGTAGATTACTGACACACTTTTATCAAGCATATATATATATATATATATATATATATATATATATATCGTGGTAATTAATTGTCACATGTGGGTTGAGTTTGCATTAAATATGTTGTATATCATATTGTATATCTTATCTTGTATTCAGTGAACTGAAAACTCTGTTTATCGATTCGATTCGGTTGTGTAGTTCGCTTGCTATATTTTTCTATTATTATTTGATGAGATTTCTCAATTTATCTTATATATAGCTACTTCACAACTGTGCGACATGACGATTACAAAGTGGAAGGATCTGCAAAATCTGTCCTTGACCACAGATGTTCGCGTTCTATCTTCCATGTTAGGTGGTGTAATGTGGTCAGTAATATTGATATTAGAAATCGAATGTTAGGTAGGCAGGAATAGTTAGTCGATGAGATTGTGAAGCTGTATCAATTTTATGGTGGTTACAACACGTGCTACACATGCCATGCCAAAGCTTTAGTTATTGAGCATTTTTAGCATATATATATTATTGATAAATATAATGTTTATTTGTGGTATTTTATCTCTATGACCTTGAAATGTATATTCAGATTGGTCAATGTACATCGCTTAATATTTTGTCTCTGCGAGAGAACAATTTGCAAAGATTGCCAAATGAGATTGGTAATTGTACACGTTTACGAGTCTTGGATGTTTCTGGCAACAGGTAGGTTTATGTGTGCTTTTATAATATTAGTTTTATTATGTTATTCATTTCAATATAAATTATATTACTGAACAACAAGTGTATTATTTAGAACAGTATGCTTTCAGCTATCCTTGGACTTGTCTGTCATAAATTGAATATTGGCTATCTTACTGCTTCTTTCTTCGTTTGCCTTTACATGTAAAATGCTGCTACAGGACTGCACTACGTCAACTCCCACCTAGCTTAGTGATAGCGAGTGAAGTGATAGAACATGTTGACCACTTCACCTATTTGGGAAGTTGTATCAGCACCAACGGACTGATTGGCGACGAAATCCCAGCATAGATCCAAAAAGCTCGACCTGCTTTCGCTGACTTACACCATCTCTGGCGTAGGAGTGACATCCAGCTGGCTATCAACCAAGGGACGTGTGTACTGCTCAGTAGTTTGCTCCGTCCTTGTCTATGGCTCTGAAACATGGCCAATACGAGTTGAAGACATGAAAAGGTTGACTGCTTTCGATCATAGATGTCTGCAATCTCTTTCTCGCGTTAGGTGGTTTTATAAGGTAAGTAATGTTGACGTTCGGCGTAGAGTGTTGGGCAAAGAGGGAAAATCAATCGACGAGGCTATAAAGTTACATAGATTGAGATGGCTAGGTCGGTCATGTGCTGCTGCGCATGCCTAACCATCGCCTCCTCCGACGGGAATTACTAGCTGATATAGGTGGTGCAGGTTGGAAAAGAGTAAGTGGTGGCCAAACAAAAACATGGATGTCATCAATCCATGAAATCCTTGACAGTTAAACTGAGTCATGTAGGGAGGGAGATGCAAACTTCCGTCCGGGTTGGGGCCCTCGGGACTCTAGGAATCAATGGCTGGAGACAATAGGTGACATGGCTCAAACTCATCGTTGTCAATGGCCAGCGCAGATGTATTCAGTCTCTGTGATATTTCATATTTCTTTCTACCATTACCCATTCTGTTTCGCTCTTATACCTGTCAAACTCTATTGATTCTCTTCACTCATCTTCTCTGTCTACCATTGTGCGCTATTTGGAAGGTGGCAACTGGAACTGGTGCACTTTGGTGCCAAGTTCTATGTTGAATCCAGACAGACGGACCTATTATCTCCAGTAATATAACAAACTAACACACAGATACGCGCCAGTGGTTCAACGTTAGAATTCTCGTCAACCACGCTTGTGATCCGGGGTTCGATTCCCTGCCGAATCACTCCTAAACCTCGCCTAGCCAGTAGTAAGCCAGTTGCAAAAGAATGGTTGGGAGTGAGGCTAGCAACCGTTTACGTAAGAAAAAGATCACTGTTACTGGACCTTCAGAACTCAAGATAGAAGCCCTATGTCCCTTTCGGTAAGCAATAGAATCAAATTTTAAAAAAACGCTGACAAACATTTCGTTGTAACTATGCAACAATCACAGAGACCTATTTAGTTAAGTAGACGATTGCCATCAAATCCTTTGTTTACTTGTGTCATATGGTAAACTCAGCTTCAATACAAAAGTTGCATAACATATTAATGGCACTAAACTCGAAGAGTGGGAATTTAAAAAAAATACGGTAAAGCGAAGCAATAATTAGTACTAAGTCACATGCTTCGAGTTTTTCATATACTCAGGTATAAGCCACATTTATTGTATGAGAGCTGAAGATACTACCCAGTAGTTGTCATAGCTGCAGTAGATGATGGAGAGAGATTCGAACCCGGTTATGTATAAATCACATCGGTGATTCAGTGGTAGAGCATTGGCCGACCATGCACGTGGTCCGGGTTTCGAGTCCCGACCGGCGGACTCCTTTACCTGCCTTACCTAGACAAGAGGAAAGGTTGGGCGTAAGGCTAGCTGCCCACCCCGTAAAAACACCACTGCTACTGAAACTTAAAAGCTAAAGCTTGAAGCTCTATGTTCCACTGGGAACGTAAAGGAATAAAAAAATGTATAAATTATCGTAGCGTGAAATAATCCGCTAAGTAATGATTTATATCTCTGCTCCAATGTGTGTTATATTGTCGCTTGGCTAAATCGCCTATTCATAGGCATTCGGTTGCACATTCAAAATTCGTTTAAGTAACCTTATAATATTTCCAGTTTAGTTGAGTAAAGGAGTAAAGTAGAATGATCCTCAGGAAGGCTTCATGTGCTTTTGAAAGTGTGTGTGCGGTTGTTACTTCCCGGCTGCCCACACCGTGGAAGTTGACTGATTCTTTGGGTACCTGGAACAGAAAGTGTCGCGTGACTGCAGAGCCCAGTGGAAAACTGCTTGAGGCCAGCAGTACGACTTCGCTCTCAGACCTCCAGCATAGTGTAAGAGAGATTCTTACATGATGCCGGTAACTGTTTTTAGTCTAATCGCTATCCTAACAACCTTCCTGGCAGGCATGGTAGGACCTGCAGAAACATTGGTTCCAACCAGTGTAACTTGTTGGGTCATCGCGATGTGCAAGCCCGAACACCACGTCATGGTTGAAGCTTTCGGTCGAACCAGTTTAGTTTAACGTGCTTTAAGTATTTTAGTTTCCGAATATTGTTGGACTAAAATATAAATCTTTGGCAAATGCTTTCATTTTCCAGCATTTATTATTACAATATAATACTGTTCTGGATTTATTTTAAAACTCAATGCAATTATTTCAGTTATTTTTTAATTATTTCAAACGCATCTGCATTTCACACGTTGAAACAACAAAAGCGGATTTACTTTCCATTGTGTTAAAAGCGAAACCCTTTTATGATATCTAACGGCATTCTGACATGTGGGGATGTGTATCAATGGCTTAAGCACCAAGCTTTCAGACGATGGGTCGCTGGTTTGAGTCCTACTACGCCTTACTTCAACCTGGCCAATTGGGTTGTATCAGTAACCTTCAGACAATAAGTATTGCTCATAGCTGTTACATGAAAAACCTTCTCTGGATAACTGACTTCAAACAAACAACAACTGAATTATTTCAGGATTCATTTACTTTTTAGCTCATCTATACTTAAAAGTTTAAGGAAATATCAAAAAATTTAGAAATTAAGGAACAAATATAAAGACATGGTAACATGTGTTATCTACTAATTATCGATTTTCTATCATACTATCCACTCTGATCTTCCCATTATTTGTTTCCAAGTTTCTTTCGTAAAATTTTTTATAATTTTAACCAGTTTCCATTAGCTGAATTAATAATTCATAAGAAAATATTGTAAAATTTATCTCCTGTCTATGAATAGTGTTATCGTTAATTCATTAGCATAATATATATATGGTAAAAATTCCTGAGCAAATGAATCTTGAACAGTCAATTTACTTAAGTGATTTTCATGTTGTTGTTTTTTTCTGTTGTTGTTGTAGACTTGATCGTTTACCATTCAGTTTATCAAAATGCTCATTGACAGCTTTATGGCTTTCACAAAATCAATCTCAACCAGTGATTACCCTACAAATGGATGTAGATCCTGTTACACAGGAACAATATCTTACTTGTTATTTACTCCCTCAGGAACAATTAGATTCACGTATTGAAACTGGTAAGCATGTACTTTTTTTCTCTTCTTCTCTCAAGTGGACTTTATTTTAGTTGAATTCATTTATGTATGTAAGCTGGTTTCTTTCTTTTTCATGTGAAATTTCTTCTTCGAGTTGACTTCTTAACCGTGTGATCATTATCTTCTTGTACTATTAATAAAGTATGAATTTTTGATCGTGCAATCAACCCTAACCCCTACATAAGCATAATAATATGAAATTGTTCACACTTGAATTATTCTCAAGCGATAGACATTACTGTTGAGATAGTACAGTTTTTTCACTTATCTCTTATGTATTCTATTGCAATTAACTGACAGTCTTGTTAAATACGTTGATTCTATTGATTGGACACTTGTCAGTAACTAGTGTTATGTGTGTATATGTCTGGTCCTATCTTTGTTACAGACTGAACTCTATGAAGTATTGGTTTGTAGGGATTTGGTTGATTGGTTATAGGATTTCATCATGAGCTGACATTGGTTAGAGAACCATTGGAAAACCTGGGAGTACTGGACAGCAGTTTCATCCAGTCAAGCTGGAATTGTGGTCACCAGGCTAGATGGCTCGCCATCACGGTGCACTTTGCATAGTTGATATCAAATGATTGAAGACAATCGGCAGGAAGCCTGATAGAATTCAGTCTGCACCGAAGATTGGACTAGACACATTACCCTAGTAACTAACTACTGTCCAGTCAGAAAATATCCAATAGAATCCTACAGGAGGTCAGTGGCGAGCCCAAATAACTCAGTGGTAACGTCTCTGATTGTAGCACTGGGTGACGCGGGTTCGAATCTCAGATAGAGGGACATTACTTGATCCTTCGAGGTTGCAGATACGCTTGCTGACGATGCCAACTAGCACGAAACCTAGGTCTGGTAGGCATTCTTGCCGATCGTCTCTAACCATCTAATACGTTGATTTTAATATTTTAATTCACTAAATCTAGTATCCATCCACTCAGTTATTGCTGTTCGGTTATCTATTTCATACTTAACATACAACCTCGTTGCGTATTAGCAGTTTCGTGTGCAGAAAAATAAAGGTAACCAAACAAAGTGTGACATTAGTCTGTTAAATGTTCAGTTGCCCATCTTACCTGTGCGAGGCTGTTGCTCACACCATCTTAAGATTCAATGGTTGACGGCTTTTGGTGAAGTTAGAATCGCCAACCACTGATACCTTATTATAATCGGGAGGTCTTCTCTTGCAATTGTCATGCGATCTACTTTAATTTGATGTTTCCTTCTTGTGTATTGTTTTCAAGAGTGACAATATGACCTAATATATATCTATTGGAGGAAAGGTTACTTTGTCAAACTAGCAAAGAAGAGCGAGTTAGGCTTTGCAAAAACTGGCACAGAAGCCTTCTTTTGTCCATGCCAAGAAAAATGTTGAACCACGTCATCCTGTAGGGACTAAAATACGCTGTGTATGCAAAACTCCTTCCGGAACAAGTTGTATTTAGGAAAATCAAATTGTGTGCCGATTAAATTGCAACTCTACTTATCATCGTCGGAAAGGCACAGAATGGCAGTCAAATCTTTACCTTAACTTCATTCGACTTTGAAAAAGCCTTCGACAGAGTTGTTTGCAGAGTAATTTGGAAATTACTTCAACCTCATTCAACAGTTACAAAACAATCCATATGTCAGGTGATCCACAACGAAAAACCTAGCGAAGCCTTCGAAGTGAAGATAAGAGTAAGACAAAGTTGCCGAGTATCATTGATTATATTCCTAATTGTGGTGGACGGGATTATGTTGTAGATCGTGGGCAACAAGGAGACAGGAGTGCGTTGGATCGATAAGAAGACTCCAGAAGATCTGGACTTCGCGGACGATTTATTTCTATTGTCACAAACTTAAAGACCTACAAGTGAAAACCGACAAGTTGGTAGAAGAGGCAGGCAGCGGACAGGACTCCAACCAACAACAAAAACCACTAGTCAATATCGACGGGAGAAGTTTAAAAGATTTCATTTCTTTCACTTATCTAGGCGCCATTGTTTCAAATGCAGGCAACAGTACGAATGGGGATGTCAAAACCAGAATCGGAAAGGAAAGGTAGACAATTTTTGCTTTTGCAATTAGTCTGGAAATCTACTGTACTGAGCATAAAGAACAAAGTTAAGATCATCAACACCGATGTTAAGTCAATCAACGATTCTGTTTGCCTCAGTAACCTGGAAAGCGCGTCACGAAAAGCATTTCCAGCAGGTTAATCACTTTTATCAACAGCCGCCTTCGATCCATATTGAAGATCAAATGGCCAGAAAGAATTGGCTACAAGAAACTGGGAATAAACCAATCGAAGACCACCACTCAACGAATATGCAGAAAGAAATTTAGGTGGTTAGGACACATGTTGAAGAAATCGTTGAGTAAAATTACGCACCAGATCGTCGTTCCAGTGGGACCCGGTTAGGTAGAGGCTAAGGTGAGCGTCTGAGCGTGACGTGGATGAGATGAGAGCCTATGGGAAGTTGTGGAGTCAACTAAAAAGAACTGCAGAAAACAAATTGAAATGTAGATGTGCTGTTGAAGCCCCCCCCCATATGTGGCAGTCGGAACCCAAGGGATTATTGATAATAATAATATCTATCCAGTACAAACTTTTATGGGTTGCCATGTTGTTGTCATCTTTGAACCGGTGTGTCGCATAAGCCATTTTCTTAAATTGCCAATGTAACGTCACCTATAGATAGATGAACAGTCAAGTTATTTATTTTCACTTTTTTAATAAACTTACATATAACCAGTGAATCATATATATATTAGAGTGCATATATATGCAAAAATCATAGAATGCGTAATGACTATTGGTAAGAAAATCACCTTTATTCAGGACACACTAATTCAGTTTCTGGTTGTATACGTTTTCTATTATTATTATTACTATTATGATCAATAGATCTTAGTATTATTGTAATTTTTCCTACACATGTTAATGAACTAGTTTTTAGAGTTACACTTATTTGTTTCACTTATTCTAGTTTTAAGAGAACAAGAGAGAGAAAAAAGAAATTAGCTTCGCGTGAATAACACAAGTGAACAGGTTGAAGTGTTTCCTAATTCTCGTGACATATATATATATATACTTGGCTAGTCAAAACAGGAATTCTGTTGTAGGTGTCGTTTATTTTAGAATGTTTTTCCAGTCTTTCTTCATGTTAGGGAAAGTATAATGGGAGAAGTAAAGAGACTTGGTAATGAACTTTTATTAAGGAAAAACACATATTTATACATTCTTAGCGGCATTCTAAAAAGTTCGGCTAGGTCGAAGGGGGGTGGGATGGAAATAAATTGTTCTGATTGGTTGGCGACTAGCCCAGGGCTAAACAAGTAAGCTGTCCAATTAGGTTATTTCGTGTCCACAACGTAGACTGAATCCAGACTTGACGATTAGACGCTTTTGCCTTCTGTCAGTAATTTAATAATTCCTATTGTAATATAAAGAACATACATAATATTCAATGAAGAGACGCTTTTCAACAATTGTTTTATCAAGCTGCACAATCTTTTATATATATATATATATATATATGGTTTTTAAGAAATTATATCCCGCGAGGAAATTTATACTAAGACATGAATACCTTAAATAATAGTATGAAATGTAATTAATATGTTTGTCATTATAATCCCAATTAAATATAAAGTGTAAATTGTCGGCACAAATAATCTCAAATATGGGAATAGTTCATAAGACGTATAGATGTGTATATAATTATAGGATTAATAGACAGACATAAAACGTCAAACACAACATGTTGTGAAATTTGATAAGATAGAATTCAACACTGCAGAAAATTTTCGACTTAGAATGACTAGTGGGATTAATGAGATAATGCCTGGAACAGTTCGAAGTGGTAATAGTAATAGTAACAACAATACTAATAATAATCGCAGTAACCGAGGTAAGGTATACAGATTATGCATACAAAGGTCTGACTGGAATTCGTGAGTGGCCAAGGCCTCTTCTGTCTGTAAAAGCTTAGAACGAAGAAAATGCAACAAGCTCTACTACCCTTGTAGCCTGTGATTAAAAATGTTGATTTCAACTTTGTCTGCTTCCCAGCTATTATCATCATGCCACAAAATTATTTTCACCGAAACACTTACTTGAGCATACGAGCAATAATTATCCTGAAGAGGTGATGAGGGCGGCAGCTGATAACTTACGGATAATGATTAGGGTAAAATCCAGTGAATTACAGTTATGTCGTTTAGGCGCATCAATACAGGTAACTGATTCCACCTGATGTTGATCATGGTGAGCATTGCAATTAATTTAAAAGTTTTCGTTGCAAAGACTAAAGGAAGAAATGAAGATGAGACGAAAAAGTTCAAATTCTATGTCAATAAAAATGATGAATAGAGACGTAAATTAACAACCAGTCGCGGCAATGCTTGTCAAGAGATACAATTATATCTTTCATGGAGAATCCAAATAAGTCCATTTCATATTAAAACCTGCACTGATGATGTTGTCTAGAATGACGATCGAGCTTCGAAATTAAATCAACCAGCTCAGAGAATACAACTAATTCGAAGACAAATGTCACTAGTAATAAATTTCTCTCTCAACTTTCTCGACTTATCAAAAAGCTTATGTTAAGTGAAAGAATCTCAGAAAATGATAAATTCAAAGGAGAGGCAGCTGAGAAATTCCGCAAAACCCTTTGAGTAGCAGTTCAACTAACCTATAGCAGTTTGCACTCACTCATCATCCAAACTCATTCTAAGCTGGAAATATAAATTCATCCTCGAGTCCGGAAGAGACTCGCAGATATATTAGGTAAATTAATGAGTTCACTGATTACCCCGAGTAGAATTCTGAGCATGTTGGGCTTGTACTTACCTGTTGGTTTTTTATATTCTGAAAACCATGGTCAGATATTCTTCGTGTTATGGCTCAACATCATATATTCACTCCTCATTTTTTAGCCACTGATAAGCTTAATTTATATGCAATTAATTATTTCTTCTCTCATGTTTTTTTGTTCATTGTATCACTTATTATTACTTATTCGCTATTCGGAGTTGTGTGGCATCTTTAACTGATGCTCATTTGTACAGAATTCTGTCTGTATCACTTGTCTGTGTATGTTACAATTTCTATGTTGGTCGGCAATGTTGACATGCTGAATGCATCACAAATTGATTGCAGAAACGTAAACAGCTAACTGTCATATCAAAGTAAAGTCGGAAATTGCTTAGCTTTTCTATCCTTTCATCTTTCGGCATCAGTTGAAATGTCATCTTCATTCATTTCTGTCACGTAGTATCGAAACCTATAGGTGTTAGTATTTAGCTATATATATTATATTTATCACACATTGGGTTTATCTCTTTGCTAGAACCGATTATCAGCTTAGCATCAATTGAGTTTTCCTGCCATTTCACATCAAAGATTGCTTATTTCTAACACTTGTGATCGCTCCATCTATGAGAGTTAGAGTGATTTACTACATTCGTTGGTTCTAGTTACTCTGTAGCTTTCCTATTTTTAGGAATACATATCATATATGCCACCGTCCCATAATTGGCTCTACATTATGATCATGAATATATTCCGAAAAGCGATGTCAATTTCGCCTTCAAGTTCAAAGGAAGATATAAACGATTACCAGATGTCATTAGTTTTGCCTTTTACTCCAATCTTTCTTTAACTTATCGCTTGATTCTTACACCCTTCATGAGTCCCTGAACCTGTTAACCTCTTTGAAACTTTCTACTCCTAACAAAATAATCAAACATCATGTAGTAGTGTGGTGAGAGCCGGCTGCTAGCCAATTGGTAGACATTAATTTACGTCGATGTCTATGTCGCTAATATTGGCCGTGAAAAAATATGAACAAGACTGATTCAACAACCAATCACAGCAGACTTAACGTGGGCAAATACGATTCGCAGATATATGGCTTAACTTTCTGAGAAACCAGTCACATGCAGTACAGAATAGCCTTGAGCAAGAAACAACCAACCAGAAGACTGTGTTTGTCTGCTTGAATAAGTTATGATAATGTACATGAAATATATATATATACATACGTGCTGATTTCCTTAATGAACGATCTGTTGTCTGGGCCTTGTCTTCTGTTGTTACAGTAGTACTGAATCTTAAAGACAGTTGTTCCAATATTGATTTTGTTATCGAAGGTAAATTGACGCAGTGTGTGATTCGATCGTCAGACTAATTCTTCTTTATGGTTAATCACATGAAGGTTTATGTTCACTTGTCTTATTACTTTTCTCCATTCAAGACTGTATTGTCTTCCTATTTGTTCTTCACTAAAACCTCCTCTTCTAATGTGTTGCTGCTTATTTTTCTTTCACTCTCAGACACGTAAGTGAATTTTCTAAGTACAGACTCTTAAAAAATCGCTTTAAAGCAAAAGTATGCTGTATATACACACGTCGTGGTGTCGTTTTCAAGAAAGAAAATAAAACAAACATCGACATTATAATTTCTGCATAATAAACATTACATACAATAGAATTGAAAGAAAGAAAGAATTAATCTATTAATGATTAAGAGACTGTGACGCAACTGAGTTTGCGTGATCTCAGTCTAATATGTGTTCCTTATTCGATGGATATTTGAAAACTCTTTTCAAGATTAAAATGTGATTTTTTTCTCTCTCTCTCCTTATCATCACGTGAAACCACAACTTTCTTCTCTTGTTCTGAAAAAAAATTTTCCATTACCTTTTAGATCCAACTGTGTCACCGTCTGAGTTAGCTAGTTATTCTACATCCTTAAATCCTGATATTATTAAACCAAAACATGATTTTCTCGACGGAATCAATGTAGAAGTGAATCATGCCTATGAACCAGCTGATTTTCACACTTCCACACCTCAGTCGAATCATCCAACCAATCGAAATACATCACCTTTGAATTATGAGTCAACTAAACCATCGGGTATTTTGCCTTCGCCTACACTGAGTGCTAATTCTACAACAATGACAAGTGATCCAGTTCTCTGAAACTCAGTTCAATGACTACTACTGCTATTAGTAATAAAAAATCACCATATTCTACTGCAGTATCGACTACATTTTCTTCAACTGTCAATGGGAATTTAGATCCTGCATACTCTTCACCGAATCATACAAATAATCTTTCTGCATCATCGACGCATTCCTCATTATCTATGCCAACATCTGCATCAACTCGAGTGCATTTCTCTGGTTCAGTGAAACCTGATGAATCGGTGAGTATTAGTGATTTTTATTTACAATAAGTTTTTTTTATTACAGCTTGATTTCACACCATATTTTTGGTGCAAGTATGGAATTTTCAGCATGTGACATCGGTAGCCCAAATTTTGCAGGCTGACCATTGATATCAGGTATGTGCGTTGGCAGGGGATCGAACCCCGGACGATGTGTATGGTCGGCAAAAGTTTGTGCTCGAAACGTCATCAGTTAATATAACTGTACAACACTGTGTGATTTAATAAGAATAAAATCCTATACATAATGGAGTTACGCAATTGATAGTGTTCTCTGAGCTCCTTGTTTTAATTGCGGAGCTTTCATCGTCTTTCTGGACGACATCTTCAGCGCAGTATTTAGGATAAAGTGAAATGATTTAAATTTCTTCATGAGTCTCCCGGTAACCATCTCTAGATATGTATTGACCGTTTTCTATTGATTGGGATTTTAAACTTCCTGATCACCTGATTTACTTCTTATTAGTTGGTATATTTCATCTATATTAACGTGTTTATTAATGGCATTTTCATTGGAGTACCAGGCTTCTAGGAATTCCCTGGCACATTTGGTGTTTCCTCTGTTTAAGATTTCGACATTCTCCCAATCAAACTTATGTCCATAATTGTCTATATGGATTGATATGAAAGAATATATATCGTGTCTTTTCACGGCTGATATGTGTTCCTGGATTCTGATTCGACTGGGACGCCCACTTTGGCCGATGTAATGTTTGTTACAGTTCATACAATTTATTTTGTAAATGGTGTTAATTTTATCTCCCTTTTCTATCGGATCTTTTGGTTTGCATAAGATGAAATTAAGCGATTCAGCTGGTTTGTGTGCTACATCTATATCAAACGGTTTCATTATTCTAGCCGTTATTTCAGAGATGTTTCTGATGTATGGTAGGATGAATTTCTTTTTGGTCTTTGGTGATGGTTCTTTTTTGGTGCTTTCATTCGATTTTAAACACTTTTTGATGATTTTTGATTATCCCCATATACAAGAAGGGAGACAAGTCTTCCTGTGATAATCACAGAGGGATTAGCTTGACTAATATAGTATCTAAAGTCTTAGGCTCAATAATCATGCGTAGACTGAGTGGTGCTCGGGAAGCACAAACACGAGAGAGCCAGGCAGGCTTTAGACCAGGAAGAGGGTGTATTGATCATATCTTCACCCTCCGACAGATTCTAGAACATAGGCATTCCTACCGGCGTCCAACAGTCATTATATTTCTTGACCTAAAGGCAGCATTCGACTCTGTCGATCGGGAAGTTCTCTGGAGATGCTTGGCTGTAAAGGGAATTCCGAGAAAATATATTGCACTGATTAAGGCACTCTACTCGTACTCATACAGCCAGGTGAGGGCTTACGGCGAGCTGTCATCTGAACTGATGACGACCAGTGGTGTCCGTCAAGGATGCCCATTATCTCCTTTTCTATTCAACTTCATCATAGATGTGTTAATGGACTTAACCCTAGGTGACTTCAGCGATTCAGGGATTGACTTGCTACCGGGGAATAATCTCGTTGACTTGGAATATGCAGACGATATAGTCCTTCTAGGCGAAGACGCTGACAAAATGCAGAGTCTTCTAAACACCTTGAACAGCAATCTACGAATGTTTGGCATGCGATTCGCTCCCGCCAAATGCAAGATGATGTTACAGGACTGGACTACATCGACGCCTAGTTTAAAAATAGGAAGTGAAGTGGTAGAGCACGTTGACCGCTTCACTTATTTGGGAAGTACCATCAGCCCCAACGGGCTGATCTCTGACGAAATCTCAGCACGAATACAAGGGGCTCGTTTCGCATTTGTTAGTTTACGCCGACTCTGGCGTAGACGAGATGTTCGACTATCGACCAAAGGGCGGGTGTACTGCTCATCAGTCCGCTCCGTCCTCCTTTATGGTTGTGAGACCTGGCCACTGGGAGTGGAAGACATGAAAAGACTAGCTGTCTTTGATCATAGGTGCCTGCGTTCTATTTCCCGTGTAAAGTGGCATAATAAGGTGAGCAACATGGAGGTTAGGCGTAGAGTTCTAGGTAAACAGGGGAAATCAATCGACGAAGTCGTGAAGCTACATCGACTGAGATGGTTAGGACATGTGTTACGTATGCCAAGTCATCGCCTCCCTCGACAAGCTATGTTAGCGGATATAGGGTCAGGCTGGAAAAAAGCTAGCGGCGGTCAAACAAAAACTTGGCATCAGTCAATGAAATCCACAACAGTTGGTCTAAGCCACGTAGAAAGGTGTAGACTGGCTTCCTGGCTGGGGTCCTCGGGACGGTAAAAATCAATGGTTGGAAACAATTGGTGACATGGCTCAAAACCGTTCTCAGTGGCGCAGATGCATCCACTCCCTGTGACTTATGATCTCCAATGAAACTGTTTTGTTATTCTTTATTACTCCTTTGTCTCACACCTCTGCTCACTGTTTCTATTATGCTTTTCTTGTACTTTCTTCTCTTGCTTCGCGTGCTACACGGAATGTGGCGACTTGAACTTCCGCACATTTGTGCAAAGTTCTATGTCGAAAACAGACAGACAGACAGACTTTTTGATGAAATTTTTTGGATAACCATTCTTCTTGAAGACCGTTCGTAAGTATTTTTCTTCTATTCTTTTCAACTCTGGTGTGCTACAATGTGTTTGAATTCTTCTAAACAATGTCTGCACACAGTTTCTTTTGTGAGTAATTGGATTGTTGTTAGTATAGTTGAGTATTTGATCTGTGTGCGTTAACTTTCTATATACTTGTGTTTCTAAATTTCCTGTGTTGGTTCTCCTGATTAAGATATCTAAAAATGGGATTTTGTTATCTAACTCTTCTTCTCTTGTGAATTTGATGTCTTCAAATATGTTGTTTATTAATTTATGGGTATATTGTGAATCATTTCTCTTAATTATTACAAATGTATCATCAATGTAACGTACCCAGATTTCCGGTTTAATTATAAGTAGAGCTATTAATTCTAATCTTTGCATAACTGCTTCAGCTATTAATCCTGATATAGGCGATCCCATTGGTGTTGCCTTTATTTGCTCATATATTTGAGTATTAAATTGGAAGTATGTTGTAAGGCATAATTTTATGAGTTTTATCCAAGTTGAACATTGCGTTTTTATGTTTTCATCACTATAGAGTAAATGTTGCATAGCTTCTGTTGCTAGTTTTGGACTAATTGAAGTATATAATGCTGTGACATCAAAGGACATCATTATTTCATTGTCTTCTACCTGAATGTTTTTGATTTTCTCTAAAAATTGGATTGACGAATTGATAGAATGGTCGCATGATTCTGTTAGGTAATTTAACTTCCTGAAAAGTTCTTTAGATAGATTATATGTTGGTGTTCCTGGAAGCGAAACGATTGGTCGTAAGGGGATGTTCGGTTTGTGTAGTTTTGGTCTACCATAAAATCGAGGTAAAATGGGTTCGTTAGATTTCATTCGCCATTGATCTTGTTCTGTAATTTGTCCTGATTTCGTTAGTTTATTTAACGTTATTCTGATTTTGTTATCGAATGTTTGTATAGGGTTTTTTGTCAACTGTTGATATACATTATTATCTTTGAGTAAATCCTCTGCTTTCTTTATGTAGTCTTCTGTGTCCAGGATTACTGTTGTTCTTCCTTTATCAGCCGGTAGAATAACTGTATCTTTTCTATTCTTTAGTTTCTCCAATGCATTTTGTTCTTCAGTGCTAAGTTGAGAATTATGTCTTTTCTGTTTGAGTAAAGGTATGATACGTTGACGTATTTCTTGTTGTACTTCCTCATTTAATTTTGATAATTTGAATGATGATTCTAGTGAAGCACAGAAATCTGTTACTGGAGTTATACTCTACCACAGTGCCCAAGTTTTATACTTATATCAATAATGCTTTACTATTTATTCGTGGACAGTTTTAAGTTAAGAAGTAACGACTAATCTGATTTGTTTTAACTCAGTAAGTGAATATTAACTGCTGTAGAATTCATCAACCTGAAACCAATCTGGAAATCTTCGTCACTCTGCATCAACAACAAAATGCAGTCGGATTTTCAATACAAACGTCAAGCCAGTTCTTCTACACGGATCACAGACTTGACGGGCGGGTTACTAAGAGTATCTCCAACAGCCTGTTGCAGACCTTTATCAACCAACAACTGTCTTCGCCGGCTCTATACTGAAGATCAGATGGCTGGGCCGGAAAGAATCACCAACAAGAAACTATGGGAACAAACAAAACAAGAACCAATCGCCAACCAAGAAATATGCAGGAGAAAGTGGAGATGGATTGGACGCTCGCTGAGGAGGCCGTTGGGTGACATCACGCGTCAGGCCATCGCTCGAGTGGAACCCGGAAAGGAAGCGGCGAGTGAGACGTCAGTGCAAGGGTGACATGGAGGAGGTCGTGTGAAGAGGAGTTGAAACAGTATGGACTAACATGGACGCAGGCGAAAAGTACAGCAGAAGCAAGTGGAGACGTGCAGTTAAAGCCCTATGTTCCACTAGGAACCCAAGGGAACAATAATAATAACTGCTGTAGCATGCGCTTTTTAAAATGAATTAAATGTTCTTACTGGTGAATAGACTTTTGTGGATATCATCAGCCTCCTGTCATGTACAATCTTTTAAACATATGAGAAATACTTGTATTTTGATTATGATTCTCTGCGTTCAGTTCTCCTTGTTAGCAGGAGCAATATTGTCAGTAATAATAATAATAATAGGTTAGGAGTAATGCTCACTAAGGAGGAGAATTCGATCTATGGGA